GAAGCAGCCCATTTCTCTCCCCCTCTCCCTTCTTCTCTCTCTAATATCAATAAAAACATCATTAAAAACAAAAACCAGTTTAGCCGAAACTGGTTTGGCTCAGTGGATACAGCATCGGCCTGCGGACTGAAAGGTCCCAGGTTCAATTCTGGTCGAGGACATGTGCCTTAGTTGTGGGCACATCCCCGGTGGTGGTGTGCAGGAGGCTGCTGGTCGATGTCTCTCTCTCATCAATGTTTCTAGCTTTCTATCTCTCTCCCTCTCTGTGGAAAGTCAATACAATATATATATTTTTAAAAACTAGTTTGACTTTAATTCAATATTTCCTACATGTTTTTGTGAAAATTCTTTCTTTTTATGAGAAGCACCAAATAATACTTACACACATTTTGGGACACACACAGAAGATCTGAACTAAGTAACTGAGAAATATGTGTGAAGAAAAGATGGAATGAAAATAGACCAAATATTTAAATATAACTGTTTTAGGGTTGGTGGGGTTGTGGATGATTTTCCCCCTTGCTTTTTATAAATCTAGTCATTCCAAATGGTCTAAATGTTAAAACACATTTGATGAAAGATAAAACACAATGATTAAAACCCTCCGACCACTACCCAAACTATTCCTTGACCTAAGAAGAAATGTCAGTAGGATCCAATTTCTTCCCAGCACTCTGGTCCACATTGCTTTTCTAGTTCTTGGATCTCATTTTGAACATCCAAATGCCATCATGCATTTCAGCACTGAATTTCCTTTTGGGGCTCTGTGGTCTTCATATACTCATTCAACAGGCATTTATGAAAGTCCTACTTTGTGCCACGTGTTGAGGTTACAGCAGTATGTAAGGACAGCCATTGTCCTGACCTTGTGACATTTACTGTAACAAAATTATCACACTCTGAATATATAATTACAGGTAACACATTCCAGAGGGACTAATGGCCAACCTAAGACTTGAATGATGAAGGAGTTAACTGAACACAGATGCAAGAGGGCACACTTGCACAGGCCCAGTGGCAGGAGAAAACTCAGCTTGTTTGGGAACCTCGTGTGGCTGGAGAGCAAGGGAAAGTGAAGGAGAGCCAGTCCATGCAGAGCCACCCATGCAGGACTCATGAAGGCCATGTTAAGGATTTTGTTTTTTCAATCATAGGGGCAATAGGAAGCCTTTGATATGGCTTTACACAGGTGGCACCTTGGAGATTCCTCTGGTGCTTCGTGGGAAATGGGTTTGAGGGACCACAATGGTGCAGGAGGCCAGTTAGGGAGCTCTCATCCAGGTGAGGCCTGAAGCAGTGACAGAGGTGAAGAAATGGATTCAAGAACATGTAGAAGAAGGAAGTCAAAAGGGCTTCGTGATAGATGGAGTTGGAGTCGAAGAAAGGACAATTGTCAAGGACAATCCCCATGTTCTCATTTATGCAACTCAGTGGTGATACCATTTGTCAAAGTAGGGAACACAGCACTTTGTGTGTGTCTGTGTGTGATCATCAATTTGGTCATGGAGAGAAAGAAAGGGATCATGGGTGCTCAAAGTGGAGGTCTGGACTACAGATTCACATTTGGAAGCTACATTGAAACTGTGGATCTGCATGAAATGGCCTAGAAAAACGTAAAGAAAGGAAGAGAGCTTGGACCGATCCTCAAACCAACACTTACCAGCTCTACAAAGGAGACAGTGAAGACACCCTAAAGAGGAAGACCAGAGTGTGGGAACAGAGGTGATAAGAAAATACAGTTGCAGGAACAAACTTGAATGATCTCAAAAGCTGCTGTGAGGTCAAGTAAAATGAGGGCTAAAAATGTGTTGTGAGTGGGGGAAGGAAACAGTGAGCAGGAACCACGTTTGTAGAAGCTTGACAGCATCATGTGTCCCACTGAGACTCCTCAATGCCAAGGGTAGCAAAGCACTGAGCAAACTACTTTCCATAAAATTTTGATGATGATTTACACACACTAAGATTAACCAGTGGTTTTGCTGTTACCCTGCTTCCCCAAACCAACCATCACTTTCAGATGCATTTTGACAAGACCAGTCCTGTGCTGGTCACCGGACACAGAGAAGTAGGTCAAATGCACTCTGTGCCCCCAAGGAGCGCACACACTGGTGGAGCAGACAAGCACAAGTTGGTGTGCAGTTCAAAATGTCATAAACCCAAATGTTGAAGTAGAACTAAGTGTTTGAGGGGACTTTAGTAACCAGCTTTACTCTGTTGAAGAACCCTTGAATGGCCTGGAAAATGAATGATTTTCTGAGAATATCTTTGGATCAAAATTCACTTCTTAATGAGGGGTAAGCTAAGGTTAATTTTGGTCACTAAACCTTTTTGTTTTCCACAAATTCCATCTGTCAGTTTTACTTCATTTTATGACATGCAGTGAAACTTTAAGGCAATATTCTCTGGAACTGGATTTGGTTCCAAGGAAGAAGCAGCAGCACAAGTCAGTCATGTTCTCACAGAACTTTTCCAGTAGGATCAGAATGCACCTTCCGGGATTCTGCACATCACGTTAATTTGGAAAAACAGACAACTTTGACCTAATTAAATAAACTCTCTTCAAGCATTTGGGAACTGGACCATTAGAGCTTTTCCCTCCATAAGCCATTTCCGGCCCACCTCAGCTCTTCATATGGGCCACCTCCTCTCTCTAATCTAATAAAAGCACTAAAATTTGAAAGTTGCTAGAAGTTATAATTACCTTTGACATATTTTATTGGAGTTGAAGTTGGGATATGCACCTTTATCTAAAACATTCTCAAATTAAAGTCCAGGAGACCCAGTGCCTGCAGTCACGACAAAGATGGGCATACCTGTCAACTGGACATCTCTCTAGGCCAATAGGGAAATACCTGAACTTTTCAGAAAAAGTGAGAGTCCGAGAATTTTAAAGAATTTATTTGATTTCTCCACATGATCACAGCTATGGTTTTACATCAATAGAGTCTGTTACTACTCACAAACAAATGCATATTAAAACAAAGCACTCCTTTCCTCCCCAAAGTTACAGAGTGGGCATCAGGCTTCTTGTGAGCAAGGCATTCCTTAAAGTCTTTGAACAGTCTTTACTCAAAACCTGATTCTAGTAATTTGAAACAACTTGAAGGTGAATGACAGTTCTCAAGAGGAGACAGATATTGCATGCGGCCTCAGCAAGACCGCAGACAGAACAGCAACACCAACACCAACATACATGCACATGAGGTACAGGCTCTTCCTGCTTATCCCTTTTGACCACCCCCACTTCACACTGATTCACTGTGCAATGTTTCTTTGATTATTGTTATTTAAAATATGTACAAAGTTACTCATTTCAGACTGGAAGGGTGATGGTATTTTTACAAAAAAACTGTAAGATGCATGCTTAACCTGTAGACACAGCTTCATATGAAATGCTGAGTCAATACCTAGGGTCATGTGTAAGTGTCCGCTGTCTTTCTAGGTCATTTTAAAGATGAAGAAGAGGCCTCTGCTGCATGCAGCGCAGGGTGGGAAGTCTCGCTCCATGGAGACTGGAGACATTGTTAACAAGATGTGCACATCATATTAGGATGAACTTTATTTTTAGTGTTGTACAATTTATTAATAAACTTAAAAAAAGTACAAATATATGATTTAACTGTTGTCCCAGAAAAGATTTTTATGATACTACCAGATGTTTTCTCTAAGGTCTCCTGCTCCTGTCAGAAATTATGTAATGGAAATAATTTGCGTGACTTGAGAAGATGTCCCGAGTATATTGACAAACCAGATGGTACAAGCAATGTGGTGGCACTCAGCCTCCCGAGGGGACAAGGCCCCTGTGAACAACAGGTCCCTACAGGCTGGGATCCAGAGAGCACAGCCCTGTGAAAGCAACATGGGGAACATGTTTATCTTAAGCTTTTGCTGCCCAGACAAGATCTGGGCAGCTGCCTCCAGCCTCTTCGATGGAACAGTGTGCTTCTGGGAACGCCTCCAGAACAGTACAAATAAAACATGGAGAATAATCACACTTCACAGTTCTGAACCCAATACCCCAAATAAAGTTGGAAACAGAGGGAGAAACTGAGTTTGTTCAGGAAGCTCTATTTCACTAGACCTAACCCTGTGTGTGGCACTTGACAAAGCTTCAGGGCATGTCAATAACAGTTTGGAGGTGAGTTCTGAATGGCCCTTGGAGCACGGAGGATGCAATGGAGAGATGGCCCCATCAATGAATGTACTGTTGATTCTTTCTGTTTTGTTTTCCCTGGTTATTGCCCCTTCAGAAAGAGCAACCTTATACTAACAGCCTGTATCTTTTCTGGAACAACATAGAATTTACAGTTGAACTCTACCATTGGTACAGAGATTAAAAAAAAAAAAAAAGCCAGCATATTTTATCATTTTACCTCAACTATTTGTCAACAGTAACACTGATATATTTTGTGAATATACAATATATAAATGTGGCTTCATACAATCAACACTGATGACACACAGTACAATTTGACTTGCCCTTGTTAGAACAACATCCTTTAAACTGCACAATAGAGAATGCCTTGGGAGCCTGGCTTTGAAAGAAAAAGAATTCAGGAGTCAATGGGCTGGAGAGCCTCCCACCAGCTGGGCCTGGACCAGATCAGGCACACCTGTGCTTTTTACTCCTCTCTGAGCAGATGTCCAAGACAGAAAAGTTGTACCAATGGGAAGGTAAAGGCGGGCAGGGTAAAGTCTCACTTCCTTTTTTAAAAGGCATAACTCTAGATTGCTGTATTTGCTCTCTGTGGAGATTAACAAAGTGCTCAGTTTGCAGATTTGCTGGTATGATGGCCTCAATGACATGGCAAAGGAGGAAAATGGACAGATGCCCAGCCAGCTGGCTAGGGGGGCTCCCTCTGTCGTCTGCCGTCTGGCCACAGCTCGCCACACCTTCCCCGGAGCACAGAGCTCCGCAGCCCACAGTCCTGTCAGCTTCGCCCTTTCTGAAAGGGGTCTCCGCTTGGGCAGGTGCCGTGGGCAGTCCTCGGTCCCACGGCTTAGGAACACAGCACTGGTGGCTGCAGTGTCGCGAAAGGCTGAAACTACAAAGTATGGCCCATGTGACTCAGGCACAGAACCGGACGCGTGCAGCGCCCCGGCCCCAGGGAGCAGATGGTGTCACAAGACGGAAGCAACAAGAGCACAGCTGAGAGTCATGTGATGCTCTGGCAGCTAACTGGACCATGACAAGGCAACGGGGGCTTCACCAGTGAGGGCTGGGCACTTGTCAGCTAGGATCAGAGGGGCCACAGTGATGACACAGGGGTTATGCTAGCACATGGCTACATGAAGTTACAATGATCATGGCCACTACTCAGAAAATAAAACAGGAACACACACACCGCCCTGGGGAGCTAAATGCTAACATCAGCCTGCAGGTTTGAAAGAGGCTCCTGCTGCAGTTGGAAACAGGATGAGGAAGTTATGGCGCTGAGGGAGGCAAGGATGAGAGCTGGTCTTTTTCATGTTGGAGATGATACGTCTGCAGTGTATGATGCCCCTCTCAGAGGACTCTGAATGAGTGTGCATCAAATCATGTGCATATAAAAGAACCATGGGTCATGGAAATTCACAGTTATCACAGCTATTCAAGTGTCATGAATGTGTGTAACCAATACTCTAAGACAGCCAGTTCTTAACCAGCCATCCTGAGTTGCTCTGTAGTTTACTGCATTTTATCTATTTGCTTACCTGAAATAACAGAGCAGTTATAATACTGATTACTTATGATAGTATTCTGTTAATAAAATAAGGATTTATATAAAGCGATATTAGACTTTTTAAATAGTTAGATGCTATGTTACTTGGCACAGTTAGTAATGACTGAATAAGTAATGAATAGATAGTCCTAGAGGGACTTCTCTGCTTTTTATGAAAATATGGAAGTATCTGAGTTTGTTCCTAGCATTTAGGTTTTTGGTCTACTCTCACATTCATCTAAGGTACTGTCTTTCTATTAGGTATGTGAAGCTTCTTATAAAGTCTATATTGCTAATTTTTGTGGACTGAAATGTTTGCCTTTCACACATGAATACTACCTATACAGTATGTATATATTTATCTATTTATATATATTTATATTATATAAAGTTTACTTACGTATTTTCATCAACCATATCAGGTCTACTTAATTTTGCCCATTGACAATGAAAGAGCAATAATGCAGCAAGTTTTGGGTTTTCTGATTTGTTCTGTTCTGTTTTTTTTGTGTGTATCTTGTTTCTTCTTTTTCTAGGCTTTTCATATTTGTGTACAATTAGGGAGGACAGAGCTGAGGACTGCAGCTGGAGAAGAGGGGGGCACCATCTCCTGGGCTGGAGGTACTGTTTCAAGGCTGTTAGTGCCTGCGGCCCACCCCTTGGGTTGAAGTGGATGGAGCCCAGGATACCAATGCTAAATTAAATCAGGAGCATTGCTCCCTATAACACAAGCCCATGTGCTCAAGGGTTCAGTCTGGGCTGTGGGGAAATGGGAGGATGGAAACAGAAGTGCCCTGGGTCTGGTCTGAGGCTGGCTGCCCCAGCCATGCCTCTTGTGGTGTGCACTTGTTCTGCGGAGTCTGGGACCCTGGCCCAAGCTGTCTACACAATTGTGCTGATGCCACTGGGTTTGGCCTTGTTGCTGGGGGGAGGTGGTGGGGCGGGGGAATGCCCGTGGTGGTGTGCTGCATGGCCCGGATGGCTGGCATGGGCCAAGGGCAGTGGTGGGTGGCTGTGCGTGTGGGTCCCATAGGGCAAGTGCCCCCCATGGGGGCTGTGGTGGTACTGGTGTGCATGCTGGATGTGCTGGGGGGGGTGGTAGTGGTGGTGGTGGTGGTAGGGGGGTGGGTTCTGCTGCACGTGGCAGTACTGGGTATGGTGGCCATGCGTCGGGACCTGCGGAGGGCCCTCTGCAGGCCCCTGGTGATGGCCCACCACGGAGTGTTGCAAGTGGGGCAGGCCTAAAGGGTGTAGGGGTGGCTGGGGAGGGGCTGAAGGTGGGTGAGTCTGAGGAGGGGGCTTCCCTCTCTTACTCCCAAATAAGGAGCCCAGGAGGGAGGATGAATTAGGCATAGTCTGGTGTGGGCGAGATGGACACTCGCGTGTTGATGTAGCTCTCCGGCGCATGTGAGGACTGCTAATGATGGACCCCTAAAAAGGAAATTCATAGAAATCAAAATTAAAAGATCTTAAAGCACTTATGTCAGAATGATTTTTTTTTTTTAATGTAAAAAGTTCACCCACTGACTGATAATCTTTAGTTCAACTCACTGCCGCAGAGGGTGGGGCTGGGCGAGGCTGGACTTCTCACACTACTGAGGCAAGTCAGCAGGGGCAGGGATGGCGGGACCCTGAGAAGGGATGTTCCAGGGAGGATGGGGGGGAGGGGGGGACTGGGGCGGGAGAGGAGGGCCCTCCTTTCTAGTCCTAGCAGCAGCAGCAGCAGCAGCACACGTTTGGGCTCTCTCCTGACAAGCACCCTGAGCTTTCTGATCAGAAGTTTGTTCGGGGTGTCTGTGAGCAGTGTGTGCTAAGGGGAGTGAGGCAGGCTAGTGTGCATGAAGAGGAACCCTGTTCCTGCTGAAATCGCAGCCTCAGCTTTCCTGGTTCCTCCCAAGGGTCTGAGGGCATTTGCTCTGCCTGTGTGGAACCCCAGGTTTCTGGGAAAGCGGTGAAGGGAGAGGAGAGGCTCGGGAACCCTTGTCCTGGGTGTGGGGACTGCCTAGGCATTTCACTGCAGCTACCTACTGCAAACCAAAGAAGGAGAAAGAAACAAAAATATCTGCAAGCTGAGGTTAAGATGTGAACAGTAATACAGAGATGGCTGGAGGATGAATGAAATCTCATGAAATCCACAGTTTTATTTTCTTATGGTTTTCCTCCTCCCCCAAGCTAGTTAAGCAATTCCATTGTGCCCTATCTGCAGACACACAGCAACTGAAACTCCAGAAAGAATGCAATGGGGACTTCGGAGCATGGCAGTCAGGCTGATGGGGAAGTTGCCTGGTGCTCAGCAGCTGCTGCTTCTGGCCTAGGAGCAGTGCTGGTGGGCGGGGTGGGGGTGCCCAGGAGCCAGGGACGTTAATGAACCATGCTGGGGCCACAGGGCACAGGGGTGGAGTGGGAACTAAAACACACAATCCAGAACCAGCCTTCCCCACCCCCACTCCAGCCCAAACAAGCGGTGAGATTCTAGCAGAGGGGAAGCTGGCATGCACTGGGCTGAAGCAGGCAGGGGGGAAGGGGTGTCTATGCCTCTGTGCAGTAATGAAAGCGCAAAAAATAAAAATAAAGACAACAGGTATAAACCAAGAATCAGGGAGGCAACACACAACAGCCAGCTGAACGTAGGTGCTTCCTACTTACTTCCACATTGCTCTCTAGCGATCCTGCACTGCTGCGACGCCCTCGCTTCCCTGCCCAGAACATGCAATACCAGAGGTTAGACTCAGACACAGGCCAGGGCACTGTGCTGCCACCACCACCAGGCTCAGGTATGGGGCCCACCTGCTGGGTGTGAGGTAGGAGAAGGGGCTCAGTAGGGAAGCTGGTTGCAGGACAGTAGATAGTTATTTAAAAAAACACAGGATTAGAAAACATAAAAAATAAATTTTCAACCAGCTCCTTCTGGACTGGCCCTCTATAGAGAGGGCCTCTGGGGGAGCTGAGCTGGGTACACAGGTAGGGCCCAAAGTCCCATGCTCAAGTTGGCCTCAGCCAACTGCTGACAGGGAACAGGGTGAAGGAAGCTTCTGCAATGACTAAAAACAAAATGAGGTCCTGCACCAGCCTGATTTTTAGTGAATTTCATATATGTATGCTATGTATTTGCACATACATATACATCTCACCCACCAGGCTGGGTGGGAGTCATAGTTAAAAGAAACTTCCCATCCTTTTTCTCCCGGTGCCTCTGGGGCTGAGTGTTTGGTTTGTGCAGGGTCCTGGCCAGGGACAAGAGGATGAGTCAGGGGCTGCTGGGAGGGGCCTGGCGTCCTGCTTCCCTCTATGGACACCCCGCAGGATGTCACAAGCATTCTCTCAGCTCTCACTGCCAATGCCTTTTTATGTTCCCAGAGCATGGCACATGTGGGCACTCAACATATGTTAGCCACATTAGAGGAAGGCTGAGTTTTCCTCTTGGTGCTGGATGCCCAGTGCCCATCCTGGCCTCCACGGTCCCTCCAGAAGACTTCTTCTATGGGTTCCAGCAGAACATCCAGGCCAGCGGAAACAATGCTGCCCAAGCTTAGGGGTCCAGCCTCCATCAGGTCTCTGGGAATGCAGATGGTAGTGGAGATTGAGATGGGCCATGTTGCATTCCAGGTCAGGCCCAGGAGCCTGAAAGATGGTATTGCCATGTACCTCTTTGTGGCCCACACCTCTTGTGGGTGCTTGTGGGTCCTTTGGGCCTCAGGGCAGCACCTGAGCATGGTGAACCATGCCCCAAGTAAGACCTCACTCCTAGGCAGTGAGCAGCAGGCTCAGGGAAGATGCCTTTGCCTTGCCTGCTGATACCCCAGCCTGAAGTCCACAGAAGGCCTTGATGGACTTTTGCTCATATGAGAAGGTCTCAGAGCCCACTCCGGACAGGGTCACACAGTGAATGAGGCAAAAGTGTTTTCCACCAGTTCCTGAGGACCAGGGAAAACTCTTAATCCCAGACAGAAATAAGATGAGGTCACATTTCCTCATCTTCCAGCTGGAGTGAGGAGTGACCTTCTCAAGGCCCTCCTCCTGCCCAGCATGGGCCAAGACTCAGGAGAGCTTTAACTTAGATGTCTTTGAGGAATGTTAAGTTTCTCAGAAGCCATCTTTTCCACTTCTCAGACCAGTATGAAATGTGGTGTCCCTACAGGCACTGCCTGCTGTACACCCGTGTCCAGGTGTGTGCACACATGCACACACACTATCTCCCACTCACAGACACTGCCCGCTGCACACCCGTGTCCAGGTGTGTGCACACATGCACACACACTATCTATGAACAAAGGCAAAGCATGCCAGAGCAGTGGCTCACACCCATGCACCTGCTCTGCGCTGTTTCCAGGTCATCTTCCCCTTTTCTCTGGATCCTGCACCAGTTTCAAGTGAGCCTCGTCCCTGCCAGCACTTCTCTTAGGGCTTGATCAGAAACCATGTCTGGAAGGGGCTCCCAGCATGGCTCTTTAGAGCCTTCCCCTGCCTGGTAGAGTCAAGCCAGAATGCAGGCAGGGCTCTCTACCCAGAGGCTTCCCTGTGGCCCTTGGCAATGCTGGAAGTCACGCAGGTACACTTCCTCAATGACCATATCCACACACGTGGCCAGGCTGCATTCTACACACTGGCACGTGCTGGCTCTCACAGAGATCCTTGAGAGAAGTGCTAGTCCCCACCTTGCAGCTGGGGAAACTGAAGCCCAGCACTGTAACTTGGCCATGGCCTGATAGCTAATGAGCAGCAGGAAGAGGGGGGAGAAGATCTTATCAATGTGAGTCTGAAATCAATGTGCTGAGTGTCCTCTGCGGGGCTGTTTGGGTGGCCATCCTGAGGGCAGCCCTGAGTACGGCCCTGTCCCAGGGAAGGCTGCCACAGGTCATTTGTATGTGGAGGGCCTGTCTTGGGGCCCCAAGAGCTCCTGAGTCTTCACAGACAGGATGCAGGAGGTCTCAGCTCTGCGCCTGGAGCGGTGATGGGTGCAGGCAGGTCCCCCATTCCTGGGGCTGGTGTGGAGCAGTTAGGCTGGGAGAGCAGAAGGCCCCCACGGCCTATAGACAGTGTTGACCATGACTTGGCTAACCTGGGGCAGGGCGGAGGCTCAGTCACACTGCATCCAGGTTCTCGCCAGTCCTCGATCATAGGCCAGCAGGGCTCTGGTGCCACTGACACAAACGGCCGAACCGAAGGAAAACCAAGTGGAGGGACATGGACTTTGCAGCTCAGCAGGAGCTGGGACTGGAGCCCAGGCCCTTCCTCTACCACTCAAAATGCTGGGGCTCCTGGAGACTTCTGCTGCCAGTCATGGGCATCAAAGCTTGACTGCCTCTTGGGTCTTCAAGGTTCATGAAGGGCTGAGGCCACATTGCTGGGAGTTGTCTCCTGGACAGAAGTGTGAGTGCAGGATTGGGCAGCTTCTCTGGGAGTGATGACTTGCCAATCAATGAGCGCTGGCTTTCCTGAGGAAACAGGCTGCCCGGGGCCTTGCCCCTTCTTGACAAGGTCATCTTGGTGCAGGCCATGATGAGTGGGAGTGACACTCATCATGCTCTGGACTAGGAGAGCTTTGCACCTCCTAGTCCAGAGCATATAACACCACATCTCCGACTGCCAAGCCCAGCGTCTTCTGGAAGGCTGCTGACACTGGCCTGTCTCCCTCACTGGAAGTCACAGGTGGCCTGTCCCTAGTCTGGGGCCTTGGCGACTGCCAGGACCCACCTTATCTCATCCTCTAACCTTCATGAGATCAGGGGGCCTTTCTTTCCTGGGAACTTGTTTTATTGTAGCTTCATTCCTGAGAAGACACAATCCTAGAGCCCTTCTCAGCTGAGAATCCCTAAATGATAGCAGCAATAGTAACAACAAATGGAAGTCGGCCAAATCTTGGAACTCCTTCCTTCACATGGCCGTGTGCCTGTCGAGGGACTCTGACTCCTAAGCTCCAAGCTTCAGCAGAGCGGGCACATGCTGAGAGCCTCAGTTCCAGCAGAGCCACTGCTACCTGAGAAGGCCTCCAGGGAACAGAGAGGCCGGAGCCTGCTCCACTGCACAAACTCAAACACAGGCCCCAGGCCCCAAATCTGCAGATGCCCACGGTAGTTGCTGGGAAATCACCGGTGGTTCTCAGCCAAGGGTGATTTTGCATCCCAGAGGACACCTGGCAATTTCTGGAGACATTACCAATTGTCATTACTGGGAGGTGAAGCCAGAGATGCAGCTGAACCTCTTGCACAGAACTATCCCCACAGCAAGAAATTACCAGACATAAAATGTCAACAGGGCTAGGATTAAGAAGCCCTGGATAAACCCTCATGCTGGCAATGGATTTCTGACTTTCACTATGGAGTGGGGAAAAATGACAAGACAAAAGCAAAGGAAAAGTCCAACTCAAAAAAGAAAAATAAAAAAGAAAGAAAACATTTCTGGGAAATAAATAAGCCAAACAAAGGGAGGCAGCTGCTGGCTAGACAGGCACCAGGTGGGGTCATGAGCAGGCTCTCTTAGGGGGCCTTGAGCTGGCCATTTGGCAATGCCTGAGGCAGGGTGAGGTAGGCAAGCCTCTAGGAAGGGAGGGGCTGCTGGGCCCCTATAGAAGAGGACACTGATCTCATCCTGAGAAGGTCTTTTCCAACAAAGTAGGGGCTCCCGGGGCAAGGATACCTGAGGCGTCAGGGCAGGCAGAGCTCAGGGTCCCAGGAGCCTAGAGTGCTAGGCACAGCCCTGTGCCCTCTGTGCAATGACCTGCCACCCCCACTCCACTGCAAACCCTGAGTCTCCTCCCAGGAGAAGCTGACATGACTAGTGGGAACTGAGGAGACTGCCAGAATGCACCCCTCACTTCACAGCTTGTCTGACAGCGCAGCAGGAAAAGACGGCGGGAGCAGCACTCAGGCAACTAGCTGGCTCTGCACCCCTACCTCCCTGCTTCACTTGCCCCTGCCATGACAGCCAGACCATGTGAGGCTTGCCAGGAGAAGCCCCCTGCTCCTGATATCCAGGTACAACTTCTCCCCCATCTGTGCCCCAGGAAAGCTGGGAGGCTTGAGGGGTGCTGCCTGCTTGGGGGTTAAGAGGCAGGCAGCAAATTAAACACACACAAAATCAAAGAACAAAATTCAGTTTCCACCAGGGCTTTCCCCTGACTCCCAGGGCCTCCTGTAGCTGCTGCTTCTGGCTGGACAGAGGCCCAGAAGAGAGACCACTGGGAAGAAAGCAAGACCAGGGACAGGGGGAGAGGGGGTTTCAGACACAGCTTAGAAAGTTTTACTCCGCTTCATTCATCAGCCTAAAGCCCAGGGCATGGCCAGAGTGCACAGAACACATCCACCAGCGAGTCTGGCTCACTCTTGTAAGAGCCATTTTCAGAAAATAAATAAAATAAATAAAACTTCTAGAAGAAGAAAGGGAGAATGGGGTAACTTCCTTGCTGTTCTGCCTTAAAAATTTAGTCCTGTTTTCTCTTGACTTCTGGTGCCAACCCCTCTGCCTGGTCACATGCTGTTCTGATTTGGGGATGGTCATGGGAAACCCAGCAGTGTCTGCCCAAGTCCTCCACTGCCAGCCACACTGTAGTACCATCCTGGCACACAATGCATGCCCAACCACCTATGCTCAGCTCTTACCAGCTTCTGAGAGGTCCCTCAGGGAGCTGCTGAGGGCACTGCGCTTGAGGCCCTCGCTGCTGGCGTAGCTGTCGTCCAGGCAGGCTCGGTTCAGTGTCCCAGTGCCAGACTCCTTTTTGAGGCTGGAGCACTGGGACATGCTGGGCCGCACAACACCCTTCTGTTTCTCAAGCTCGGCTGAAATAGAGGAGCAAGGGCCCAGTGAGAGGAGCACAGCCTGGGGAGGGTCAGGGTTGAGGTGAGCCAGGGATAGGAACCCCCACCAGGAGGAAATGAAGAGGACCACTACCCTCTGTACCAAGTCCCCATTTACCTGAAATGGGGAAAAAGGAAGTGCGAGCATTGTCTTGGGAAAGAAGTGTGATGGCTACTTTGAACAAAAGGGAGGGAGGCTGAAGAGGCTAAAGTGTCCTATGGTCTGCAGGAAAGACAGTCTCTTTCCAGGCCTGAGGGTTAAGAAGGAGACAGATGCTCAGTCTGGATGAACAAGTGTTAATTGGCCTTTCATGGAAGGGCCAGAGGTAGGCACACCTGAGCCTGTACATCTGGAGCCAGGAGAAGAAGGGGGTATCATCAGCTCCAACAAACCCAGGTGATGGGCGTGGCTGTGACTTTTTCAGTCTGCTGGGCCCCGATGCAGAAGATGAATAGAATAACCATACAGAACTCTGGGTGCTCCTGTCCTAGGAGGTGACCAGGAACCAGGGGCCTCCCCAGTCAAAACAGGCCTGGACTTCTGAAGCATGGCTCTCACCAAGAGGCCCTTGCCACATTCTGTGGCCTGGACATGTGGTCTGCCAGTCACATAGACATGGGAAGGCCAGAAAAGACCAGAGCAGCTCATTTCTGTGGGCTCAAAGAGTCACTGCCACCATATAGGAGCCAAAACTTGTGTCCAGCAAATCCTAAAAGATGTCAGGGCAGCCTGGCCCGGTGGTGCTCAGTGGTTGAGGTCATGGCTCGATTCCCAGTAAAGGCACAGGCTTGGGTTGAAGGCTTGATCCCGAGTAGGGGGCGTGCAGGAGGCAGCCAATTGATTATTCTCATCATTTATGTTTCTATCTCTTTCTCCCTCTCCCTTCATGTCTCTGAAAAAAAGAAAAAAAAAAGAAAAAAAAAAAGCCAGGGTTGCTGGCTCTTCCTCCTCAAGAGGTCTGTAACTCACACTCTATCCTGTGCTTCTCCATCTCCTGCACCTCCGCGATGGACTCCCTCAGGTCATCGCTGAATTTCTTCCGGTCTTGAGGATTGGGAGCATTGAAGTTTATTAATACTTTTATGTCTGCTCCAGGGACTGCAGATGTGAGCCGGATGCCATTGGGGTAGACTGCAAAGGAAAAAGAGAGGAGAACCAATAGGCCCTTGCATTCTCTGTCATCTCCACTCCTGATTAAGAAAATACCAGTCGGAATTCAGGATGGGCATGAGGGAAATGGTCAGAATGCAGGACTCAGCAGGCATGTCTGACATGGAGAAAATGCTTCCATAGTGCAGACTGAAGGGACCACCAGACAACCTTCATCTACCAACTCAGGTCCGTGCTCCTTCATATGTGAGTCGGGGAAGATCTGGCTGATCTGAGGGAAGCCAGGCTCTCTTCTCCTCCATTCTGAAGGTCATGGCGCCCAGATTCTCGTTGAGACTGCAGCCAGGTGCTGAGTCCAAGAGAGGGGCAGCCCTCTGCGCTCGGTGGAGTGTCTTACCCATCATCGCAGGCCCGAATGGTGTCCAGACCTTTAGCAACCCTAGATGCACTGTGGATCTCAGCACCCAACACACACTCTGCTGAGTGCAGTGTCTTTCTGCTCAGACTTGCCTGTAGCCCTTCCAAGCATAACGGGTCCCCTGGAAGCACCTCTCCCCTCAGTTGGAATCAAGTTTCAGCCATGGGGAGTTTGCAAGATCTTGACTCAAACACGAATCCCACTTTTTATCTATGTAAAGGCTGAAAACACAAATGCTTAGAAACCATGTGATTCTCCCAAGTGCAGGTGGGACCATGAGCACTGAGAGTGCTGGGAGGGAGTGTGCAGCCAGGAGCCAGCAGGCAGGAATGTGACCTTAGCGGTACCAAACGCGTCTCATTTTTTCAAGAGAAGACAAAAGTATTAAATGCAAGGATTTAAGTATCAGCTCAACAAATTTTTAAAAGTATACAAACTAAATATAATATAATTGAGCCAGACTGACCCAAGGCTGGCAGCATGCAGCCCCTGGTATGAAGGCATGGCCTGGGGAAGGGAAGGTCAGCTCTTACTAGCATCTGTGCCCAGGACCATGCGCTGAGCCCTCAGAATTTAAAAATGATTCAGATACAGCCTCTGTCTGGCTGCTGGGGACAGTGTGAGGTAGCACCAGCCCCATGGTGCTGCCTGGTGAAAACCCAGGCAAGGCAGGCCTTTGGACTTGGGTAGAGCAGATGGGGCTGAAAGTGGGGAGATGGCAGGGTTGGCATGCTGGCCTCTCCTGATATGAGAGAAAGGAGAGGACATAGCAGGTGTCAGTCCCATTTAGGACAAAGAAGAGGCAAAGAGCCCCAAATCCAGGCCTGAACTTTCCACTTGTGGATGGAAGGCCTATCACATGGCACCACAGCCACTTGTTTGAGAGGATGGGGGCGGCCCTGCTGCGGAAACCCTTCAGCCCTCCCCTTGGGAACTCCAACAGGATTGCCCCCAACTCATCCTAGGAAGACTGGGTCAGTCTGCCACTTGGGACTTCCAACAGGAGAGAGGAAAAGGAGAAGAGGGACATGTGAAGGAGCAAAGTCAAAAGATAAGGTCAGTGGGGATGTCCTGGTAAGGAGCCAACTACCTTCCAAAACTCCCAGATCCACGATCCACCCAGAGAAGGTCTCCAGTGGCACTTGACTTCCACATGCACCTAACCCGATGGCGTAACACCACCCATGTCACAGATAAAGGACACGCAGCCCAGAGAGGTTAAGCAGCCAGGCCACACAGCCAGTTTGAACCTTGGAGGTCCATTCCATGGCTAAGCCCTGCACCTATAGTCCTGTATTACCTTCACCTATTTGTTTGGCCACATTTGCAGATAATTTATGCCACTTACTTCTTGCTTTCTTATCAACATTTATTTAAATAAATTTACTCTGGCCGAAACTGGTTTTGCTCAGTGGATAGAGCGTCGGCCTGTGGACTGAAAGGTCCCAGGTTTGATTCCGGTCAAGGGCATGTACCTTGGTTATGGGCACATCCCCAGTCGGGGGTGTGGAAGAGGCAGCTGGTCGATGTTTCTCTCTCAGTGATGTTTCTAACTCTATCCCTCTCTCTTCCTTTGTAAAAAAATCAATAAAAGATATTAAAGCCGAAACCGGTTTGGCTCAGAGGTAGAGCGTCGGTCTGCGGACTGAAAGGTCCCAGGTTCGATTCCGGCCAAGGGCATGTACATTGGTTGCGGGCACATCCCCGGTAGGGGGTGTGCAGGAGGCAGCTGGTTGAGGTTTCTCTCTCATCGATGTTTCTGGCTCTCTATCTCTCTCCCTCTCTATAAGAAAATCAATAAAATATATTTTTAAAAAAGATATTAAAAATAAATAAATAAATAAATAAATAAATTTACTCTGCCCTCTAGTATCTTATCACCTGTAAGAAGTAACAATAAAAGTAAACCACTGAACACCATATATATTGTTATGAAATTCTTCCCAATCACTGCTGCCTTTCAGAGAATTGAAGCTACCCTGGGCTCTGTCCTTGATGGCACAGGAGAAAGGAGAGAGTAAGGTAGGATACAGGTCTTGAGCACAGTGCTCCAGCACATGCACTGCAGGCCCGGGAAGCTGCTCAGACTTACACTGGCTCTCGAAGAGCAGGACCTGCATGCCATACAGGGAGAAAGACTGCCGGAAGTTGTATGTCACTGAGTTCTTCTTCTTCTGGAAGATCTTGGTGACCTGGGGGCAACCAGAGACAGAAACTGAGCCATACCATCTGTCTTGCCCTGGAGCAGCTCTGGGAGCTCAGGACTGAAAATGGATCTGCTGGAGACCACATGTTTCTGTAAGAATGACTCTGTTGTTCAGAAGTCAGGAGGCCCTGCAGGAGGAAGGACCTGACACAGGGAGGAACACACGCCCACTCACTCCTTGATGTAGACAGCTTTCTGTTTCTGCCAGACCTAGTGCCATCCCAGCTGGCTACAAAGCCCCTCAACCCAGCAGAGAGTGGCAGTCACATTGCCACATGTGGCACTGAAGATGCAAGGTCTCATGTCTAGGATCCTGTCTGATCACTGTGCCTTCGGAGATTAATTTCACAAAGGAAACAGATTCAGAGGTGTAAAGTGGCTTGCTCAAGGTCAGGATGCTTAATAAATAACTGAACCCACACATCTGACTCCCACCTCAGGAGTCACAGAAGTGTAACTAATCCTTAAACAGGTGGGGACCAGCAAGAAATTTTGTAGCACGCAGGGGGACAAAGATCCAAGAACAAGTTTCCCCTGTTCTTTGAAGAGGCATCTTCATCCCCATTGGCTCACATCCGTGCTGCCTTTTTTTTTTTTTAGGGGTAGGGGTGGAGGAGAAGCACTCCTCAATACCCCTGTGGGGAACCCCCATCTGCTACCCTCAATCCATTAGTCGTGGGGACTGTGATCCAGGCTTAGACAGCACCACAACTGCCTGGCCCTGTGACTAGGTGTGGCTCAGGCCCTGGAAACAAGATCATTGCTGGGATTTTTAAGAAGAGAATCCTACCGGTGGCCAAGGAGACAATTAAGCCTGGAGCTCCCAAGGCCGACTTTCCCTCAGAGGATGAAACCTGCCCAAGAAGGCAGCCCATAAAGAGGAAGAGCCTACACAGCTGAGCAATGGAGATCATCATGTTTGAGCCTCTGGAATAGCCAAGGCCGAGGCTCCAAATCCTCTTCTGAACTTTTACATAAGCCAACAACGCCCCATTTTCAATGGTAGCAGTCTGTGTTAGATTCTGCTCCTGGCAACCCACCCCATCACCACTACCCCACACCTGTGTGGGCATTTCCCCACATGCAGGCACATAGCCAGGTCTCCTTGCATAACAGCTATCAGCTATGAATCCATGAGGAACCACGTACCACCAGGAGGTCGTTAAACAGGAAGATTTCTCGTTGATGCAGTCCGAGTTTCTGGGGCTTATTTGGGTCTGGAACCTCGAAGAGTCGGCAGTAGCAGACCAGCCGCCGGTGAGGCAGAGAAAGAACCTGCAGGAGGGCGGGGGAGGGAAGTGTGTCCTCAGCAGCCTGCCCTGCCTCTGGAGCACAGAGTCTAGCCTGAATGTGAGGAGCCAGCCTTGGGCCTGTGTTCTAAACACCTTTTCTTACAGACCATGCAGAATGAACCATGTTTCTGGCTTGCAGCTGTTTTCCCGCCTGCCCTGCAGAGCCAGGGTAAAGGTGCCACTTCTGGTGAGACCTCTGCTCGATTCTTTCAGGCAGGTACCAGACTCTCTAGAGAATCATGCTCACATGTGAGCCCCCAGCTAGAGGAATGTTTGTTTTCTGAGTCCCCAAAGTGCCCATTAGTCTCCTGCAAATATTTTTCTAGAGAGAATCTACCCTAGATGAGGAAACGGAGGCACAGAGAAACTGAACAACTTGCTTCAGCCAAGTGAGGAGCTGCAGAGTCTGGAACTGTCCCATTCTCCAGACCCCCTCCTAAATGATTTCAACATCTCTGAAGCCTGAAAGACCTTATTCAAACTTGAGCCAGCAGTCACTGCTCTGTGGGGTCCGGTCTGACCCTCTGCTCTGTACACCTGCTTCTGAACACACCTGTTACAGATTCAAAGAGCCTCCGACCTTGCCGCAGTCCAAGCTGCTTTCAAGGCCTGGTATGGCAAACCATCATGTAGGCCCACTTGTTGCTCTGGGAGTGCCCCTAAGCCCCACAGGAGACAGATGAGCCAGTAAGGAGACAGTACATGTCCAGTTAAGACCCCCAGAGGGTAAGCATAGTAGTAGCCAAGGAGCATTAACTCTGCAGAAGGTGCCAACTCTGCAAGGGTGCCCTGGTAGAAGGATGCCCAAGTTCACTACATTAGGAAGACAAGATAAGGGGAGGGAAATGCATGGCCCAGCCTAACACATTTAGGGAATAATGTTGTTTGGTGCAAAAGTACTAAGTAAAGAGGATGATGGCTTTTGGGGCTCAAGAGGTAGACAAGGGCAGGTCACAGAAGCCCATTTTGGAGGGCAGAGCTTGGCCTGGGTGGGGAAAGAGAGGGCCCTCCAATAAATATCAGTGTCTCAGTGTCTGGGGCCCAAACTGAGTCTCTGAGCTCAACTGGGCCCAGAGGAGAGGGAAGGAGACTACCTACGTTCAGCCTGATAGCACAGCCCTCCCCATGAGACTGTAATCTCTGGGCCTGCAGAGATTAGAATCTGGGTTAATTATGAAAATAAAATTTCTTACTGCTGCAGAATTAACTCAAGCAACCAGAACTGTGGATCTGGGAGCAAGAGGATGTGGGCACATGGGCCACCTCAAGGTGGGATATTACCCAGAACATGAAAGCAGAGGGATACTCACACAGCCAAGCCCATGATGCAGGGATCCAATCTAAATGGGGAAACAGCAAACAAAGGAAAAAAGATCAATGTTTCAAAAGATGCACCTGGGTGCCTGACAGGCAATCCTCCCCCAGGCATCTTTCTTTAGCTCTATCCAGCCTCACCCACGGGGTAGTCAGGGAAGGCCCTCTCATTCTCAGGCTGAGGACATGCATTCCCAAGTCACCAAGGAACTGTGAAACCTGCCCATTGGTTTATTAAAGTTCTCAGCTTCTCCAACTTTATCCCAGAGCAGATGGTTGTTATTAGAAGTCTCTTGAAGAAACCCAAATCCTGAAAGAATTCACCAGCCCTGCCTGGAAGGGGGATCAGAGCCACTGGCAGAAGCCAAGGCCAGCAGGGCGCTGGGTGGGAAGTGGGGTGTGAGCACCTCATGCCCCCAGCACACTCCCCTGGGACATAGGGCTACCACATACCGGCTTCTTCCCCACGATAAGCTTCTCCACCTTCTGCACCTGGGACACGTGGTCCTCATTGGTTTTCAGCTCCCGCTTGCGAATCCGTTCATAGATACCTATCAGTGTTTCTCGGGGAATGTCCTCACCATCGTCCACACCTAGGCAGGAGATAGTGGCCAGGCATTAGTCAGGCTGGGGTCTGGGTGGTCCCTTCAGCCTCAAGCCCCAGGCTTACTCCAATTTACCAGTTTCTAACCCAAATCAGAACAGTTATCCCTTTCACCAGTCCCAGCAGAACCACAGACTTTCCAGACCCATGGCTACTGAACACCCTCAGTCAACCACAAATTCCTCAGAATCCTTCACCAAGGAAAAGGCCAGCACAGCCACTTGGACGAACATGGGAGGGCTGATAGAGCGCTTTATAAATATTACCTTGCTGATCCTGACCACAGCCCCATAGGGTGGGCATGCCATCCCCATTCCATAGATGAGAATGCTAAGGCCTGGAGAATAGTGGGTTTGAGGTGAGGAGAGGGTTTGTAAGTTCAGGTTCCAACACTGGGCCCATCCTCATTTCACCCCTTGTGATCTTGTGACTCAATCTTTCTGAGCTGAGCATCTGTGAAAAAGGCCCCCAAGAGCATGGGTGGCTTTTCAAAGCTTTGGTGAGAAGTGTGAGCAGCTCTTGGGATGGCCCTTAGAGTGAGACCTTGGTGCATTTGCCAGCTGTTGTCCTACATCTCATGGGCGGAAACCAGGGGCATGACTAAAACCTGGATTGCTTTGACAACAAGTGCATATCTTCTGCTACACCACTATGAAAACTGCTGTGAGAAAAGAAACTAGCCCTACTCACAGGAGGAACACAAACCCTCATCCGTCCTCAGACCACAAACTAGCTCAACTAAAGGATTGGTAAAACTGTTGAGGTTATGGGGAGGGGCTTACCAAGCCCTTTGACCTAGCAGAGGCCTCACCCAGTGAGTGATCCAAGCAGGGGAATGACCAGCTGAGTGCTCTCAAGTGAGCTTCCCTGCCCTCAGGGGTCAGTTAAGCTTGGGAAGAGCTGAAGTGCTCCTCCCTGTGTCCTGGTGGCCTCTGCTCTCTCCAGCCTTCGTGTTATGGCAGCGCCCATCACCAAGGGGCGCACCAGGGAGGACCTAAAGATCTGAAGGAGAAATTATCTGACCCAGGAGAGGGATTGACAGAACAGCCTTTACCACAAAAATAAAGAAGATGAGTAGAAAGTTTAAACAACTCAACAAGCTCACAGTTGAACTTGGACTTGATTTAGACCAACCTTTGTTTAAAAAATATACCTCTTCCTGCCTGCTTGAAGATTGGCCGCCACAATGAACGACACAGTAACTATCTGGACCAGGAAGTTCATTGCCAACAGACTACTCCAGCAGAAACAAATGATCATTGATGTCCTTCACCCTGGGAAGGCATCAGTACACAAGACAAGATTCAGGGAGAACTAGCCAAATTATATAAGACCACACCAAATGTCATCTTTGTATTTGGAACCAGAACCTATTTTGGTGGTGGCCAGACAGCTGGCTGTGGTGTGATTTATGACTACTTGAAATTCACAAAGAAAAATGAACCCGAACATAGACTTGCAAGATATGACCTGTATGAGGAGAAGACCTCAAGAAAATAGAAGGAACACAAGAACAGGATGAAGAGAGGCAGGGGCTGCAGAGGCCAGCATGGGTGCTGCAGAGAGTGAGCTGGAGATGGGTCCGCAGAAGGAGTCAAGATTCTTCAGGGACTTGATCTGTGGTGACGGTGTAGATTTCCATGAGAGGATTAATAAATTAAGAACTTTTAGGTGAAAAAAACTAAAATATGATGCCATTTAAAGGGGACCTCAGCCTGCTGCAACTGGTATTTCCCAAGGTGAGGACCCAGCTCCTGCTCCCTTCCTTCCAGGAATTCTAGGTACACAAGGCCCTTGCCTCCGCCAACATGGAGTCAGCTGGAAGATAGTCGTTCCCTTTTTGATTCCTTCCCTATCAGATGCCAAGAAGGCCTCCCTTCCTGCTGCCTACCTGACATGGGCCCACCTGCCAGGAAGAGAGGGCAGCCTGAGGGCCTATCCAGAAACAGCTCCTGCTGGAATCAACAGTGGTACTTTCTTTTCATTGTATTCATTTTTAAAAAAAATATATATTTTATTGATTTTTACAGAGAGGAAGGTAAAGGGATAGCTAGAAACATCAATGAGAGAGTCATCGACCAGCTGCCTCCTGTACACCCCCTATCGGGGATGTGCCTGCAACCAATGTACATGCCCTTGACCGGAATCGAACCTAGGACCTTTCAGTCCACAGACCGACGCTCTATCCACTGAGCCAAACTGGTTTCGGCTGTGTTCATTTTCTTAATGATTGCCTATGTATGATAAATGCTACTGGTTTCCCACTTACAGTGGTGATATAAGGTTCCTTTAAAAACACATGTAAATAAATAGACAAAAACAAGAAGGCAAGATAGTTTCAAGAGGAACATGAAGTGTACAGGATGAGTGGCTGGGCAGATGCTGTGAGGGATGCAGCAGTGATGATGGGTCAGGATGTGCTCGCCCATCTGTCCAGCTCCTGCCTGCTGGAGGTCTCAGGGGTCCCAGCACCGAGGCTCCCTTATGTGCTCCTACACATACTTCCAACCAGGCCTTGGTCGACTTGTGCCTGGCCCGACCTTACTGTGCTGTGATAATCTGGTTTCTCTGGTCTCTGTCCCCTTGTGACTAATTCCCCTCCACCCGGGTCTATCAAACCCCTGTTCATCCTTTAATAACAGGCTAAAAACATCACTTTCTCCAAGAGTTAGGTTTCCTGCATCCCAAGACCAAGGCAGCACTTGCTCTTTATGATAATTTATACTTTGTGCATGCATTGTGGAGATGAACACTGCTTGAAAGGCCCATCTTAGCAAGAACTGGGTGTGCTGCAGCCAGGCCTCCTACCTCTCCCCTGCACCCAGAAGAAGTTAATGTCAAATTTGCCTCTCAGACCCACACTTTGTGGGGCTCATGCTCAGAGGTGTCTGTGGAGGTGTGTATCTGAGCCTGTAGCCAGGACAGCTCACCTCGGAGGTTCTTGACGAAGTCCTCCAGCTTCATCTTGCGCTCAGGCTTGACGTTGGGGCTGTACATGTCTGTGTTGAGCAGGATGATGGCGAAGGCCAGGATGAAGATGGTGTCTGGGTTCCGGAACTGCCGAACCACCCCAGGGTTGCAGATGCAATACCGCTGGCTGGGGGCCGGGGAAAGGGAGGCGGATCAGGGCTCCCTCAGTTGGGGCAGGGAGTGGATCTACCTGTCACTCATGAGTAGCTGCCATTGCTCCACCTGGCACTGAACAGCTGAGGCTCAGCTCCTGCACCTGGTAAACAGGGACAATACCTGCCTGGCAGAGCTGCTATGACTACCCACTCACCTCTCTCACCTGCACTGTAGCTGGCAATGGCTCTTGGGGGAAGACAATGTTCCCCAGGCTCCTTAGGAGCTGGTACAACCATGTGACTAAGTTCTGGCCAATGGGATGTGGGTACTTTCAAGACTGTGCCCTCCACTCTCTTGCCCTGCCTGGAACCGGGGTGTGATGGTGAGTATTGGACTTGTGATGAAAAGAACCTGGCCACTGCACCAGCTAAGAGGGAGATACAATTCCATCTTATTTCAGTTGTCACTTCTGGGCAGCTTCTTAAGACACCTGAACCAACAGCCTCACTGAGGTATCTGTGCACTGTCCTCACTACCTCAAGTGCACCCTCACCCTCACCTCTAAGGGGCCTCTCGCTGGTTACCTCATGGAGGCATGGTGAGAGTGGCAGAAACAGAGAAGAGGAGCCAGGCGGGGCATTGCTACTGAAAGTGGTAGCCATCAATGCTCAGGCAACGTTAGCTTCAATTCTGTCTTTCTTGTGACACCCCCAAGAAACCCTTCTGGAAGGAAGTGGCTGAACTTCTAGGCCCTAGGACTGCCCTCCTCCTGTGTCCTCCACTGGTGCTGAGCCCAGAGTGCTGGAGCAGCAGTTGACTAGTGTCTGTCACACCCAGCACGGAACACAGAGATACCTACACAGTGTACACACAGACCCAGGATGGAAGACTGTGCAGTGACCTTGAATGCAGGCTCTCTGTCATGCCAGGTGCTGGGCTGTGTCCCACACATCCTCAGTGGGTTAAGCCTTCCACTCTGTCTAGGGTAGGTACTCTATAGACAAGGGCTCAAGGCACAGAGAGGTTAATAAGCACAAGATCACACAGCTGGTAAGTGGTGGAGTGGGTATTAGAACCAGGTCATCTGGCTCTGCAGCTCATGCTCTGAGTCACTGTGAGAGAGCAGCTGCCCCATAAAAGGGCAGATGAAGGAAAACATGAATGGATGAGGCGCATGAGGACTTGGAGGAAGACAAAGACTGTTAAAAAAAAAACAAACCCTGGCTCTAGCACTAACTAGCAAAGTTCCTGGTACCCAGAAGGGGCTTCTGGCTCACCTCTTAGGTATTCAACCCTTGGCTAGGAACCTCCTCTCCCTGATGCCTTCCTCCTGCCCCGCCACAGCCCCAACCTGAAGGCCTCGATGAGCCGCTCCACCTTCTGTGCCTCTCCCTGGACCCGGATATGCGCCTGGAACTTTCTGAGGGCTTCATCCAGCTCCATGGCAGAGAAGTCCATCTCATCCACCACGCAGCTGAAACAAGAAAGGCCATGTCAGTGTCTGCTGCCCACAGCCTCTACTGCCTTCCCATTAGGCGAGGGGAGCACATGCTTGCGGAAGTGGAGCAGAGGGGTTGATGAAAGGGCTGTAGAGGCAAGGCTGCCACTTGTCTGGGAGGGCATCTGCTTAGCTTCCTCCAATCAGCAAAGATCCCTCTGCCCTGAAACTGTCGGAAAATGTTAATGTTTACATCTATGTGTGCAATTTTCTAGACATACTGGGAGCCAGAGCATACAATTATTCTTAATAAGGACTCTTTGTGCAGAAACAAATGTTACATAGACATAATGCAGACATAATGTAGGAGTCTTCTGGCGTTCTGAGGGAGGCAGGAGCACACGCCCATCCTCACAAGAAGGAAGTGGAGGCTGGGCACTAACTCTCCATGCAGTGATCTCACACAGACCCTGTGCTGTTTGCCAAGGGCATTGGAAGAGGTGGCTGGGTTTGGCTGGATGTTTCTGAAACCATCCTCATGTGCCAATCAGAAGGATAAAGGGCAGAGCTTGGGGAGGCCTCTGGTTCTTATCACACCAAGCTTCCGCATTATAGCCTGCTCGGTTCTCTGATCAGGACCCTTACAGAGAATGTGTGGTTCACACTAAGGACCCAAGCAGCATAAACTGGTGTCTAGTTTATGTTTATAACAAAGCCATAGCCACCCTTGGGGCTGTGGAGGCCTCAGCCATGGGAGACCTAATTCCACACCCAGAGCGTACCTCCACTGGGAGTGATGGGCTTATGATAAGCTGTTGTGCCCCCAATCTTTTCTGAGCACTAAGGGCCTTTTGTGGTGAAAGTTAGGAGTGGGGGAGAGGGGTACCCGGGATGAGCTGCTGACCAGCTCCTGAGTGGGATGATGTGGAGGGCAGAGCGGGGAGGAACCTCACTACTTTCTGAAATCACTGCTATTTTCTGATCCAAGGAGAACAATGCACGGATTTCCTTCAGACCAGAAGCCAGGGCACAGAGGGGAGTGCAGAAATAGCTATAGGGGAGGGGGGTTGCATTGCAAAGATTTTAGGCCCAATTCACTAAGGAGCTAATCTGTGTTCCCCTGAACCATATCCTCACACCAGTTTAAAAGGAAGGAGGATGGGGTGGGGAGGAGATTAACCATACTAAGAACCCAGCAGGCTTTCCGGAATGAGGCCAGAACAGAAACACTGAGCTGAGCAGGAAGAAAGCAGCCCAGATGGGCACAGCTGGCCAAGAAAGGACATAGGTTTCGTTCTGCTGGGTATTGGACACATACCAGCCATACTCCTGTGTGTGTCTGCATGAGTATGTATGTGCATATATGAGGCCGTGTGTGTGTGTGTGGGGGGGGGTGTCACTCAAGCCAGGCCCTCTCCCTTTGATCCTGGGTTTCCTCACCTGTGGTACAAAGAGGCCATAGCACCCGCCTACCTCCCCCAGAGGAGCATCAGAGGCAGTAGGTATACATGTGGCCAGGCCCTTCCTCATTGCAGAGAGGGCCTGACTTCAGAGGGCCACCCCTTGCTTGTCCTTTTCCCAGATGAGGCAGAGCCTGGACAGATGGAAGCACTGTTACTGATAGTTATAGCTCTTTACTCTGCTTTTATTTCTGTTTCTGGACTATCTGCCCAAGGTCGGCATATCAGCTCATAATCGCTTGGATCAGAAAAATCCTCAAAGACAGGCCTGGGGAAAATCCTCCAGGTCTCGGCAAAGGGTGAGCAGAACACATATTCTGAGCCGTCCGATTCTGCTGACTTTGGCTTCTCATTTGTGAAAGGGGGTCATCAATCCCTGACATCCACCCCCATGGGTGAGATGAGAACACAGGGCCTGAACATAGTAAACACAAGTGCCTAATGCAGGGGCCTTTCTACTCAGGAGTCTCAAAGAGGAATGGAAAGTTTAGAATACATACTGGGCAGACTTCTCAAAACTTCTAGCAGCTCCCAGGGAACTAGAAACCCATTTTTCTGCAGGGTTCCAAGCAGCTGAGTGCTATGGCTGCCAGCTCCCTGGGCTGGTGAAATGTGGAGTGAGGAGATGGAGGTTGGACTTTTACCTCCTGATCTCACATCCAAGAGAGGCAAGAGAGAGAAGCAGAGGCAGTGATCTGGGTGTGGTGCTGCCTATGTTGGTGGCACTGGAGTCTCTCTTGGCCAGCTCCCCTCCTCCATCAAAGGGCATCTGTCAAGGCCCTGACTTTGCACACCCCTTCTTCACTGAGTGCTCAGTGGCTCAGCCTGCCTGAAGAGAGGGGAGGTGACAAGGGTGTGTGAAGGGGGGCACCCAATTGTAGATGCCCACATGTATGCCTGGCCAAGTATGTGTGAGATGGCATGGGTGTCTAGGAGCTAGAAAGAGGTAAGGGGAGTGTTCAGTGTATGTCCCAGCAGCAGGGCAGGCCTGAGGGCCACGGAGTCTCACAGGAACACATCCATGCAGGCCCGACCCCCAGCCCCAGAACTCACTCCAGCACATCGCGGTTGAATTGCTTCTGCCTGTTGCCCAGGAACTCGCCAATCATCTGCCGGCTCAGGCCCTTGCGTTGCAACAGGAAGTGGGCTACTCCCACTGGTGTGTCTGGCACAAAGCCACGCTCAATGAGGTACTGGATGCCCTTCTCAGGCTTCCTGGGAGTGGGATAAAAGACAGACTCAGCCTTGGCAGCTCTGGTCCCTCCAGGCTTACTCTTCACCTCTTGGGCACTCAAGGCACCCAAGTTGAGACACTGGCTCAGGCACCTGCCCAACCTCATCCTGCAACATGGGAGAACCTAGAACTTAAGAGACACTGAATCAAGAATGGACAAGACTGGGTCAGCCACAGGAGCACAGCCACGGGTGCTAGAGCAGGGACCCTCCCCAGCTGCCCTGTACTACCCCAAACCCTGGCCCCATAACCAGCCCGCCTACCCAGCTTTATGCTCCCCACTATGTAGAAGCTGGTGCCCCATGCTGTACCTCAGGCGGACTTGAACTTCTTGCCCAACACATGCTAATCTGCCTTCTACTATCCTCCTACGGAGATAAACAATCTCTATCACCTGTTGAGCACTTACTCTGTACATCACTGTCTAAGCACTCTACACTCTCTAACTCACTTAATTCTTACACTCCTCCTTGGGGTTAGCACTCTTGTTACCTGTGCTGTTTAGGGCCCAACAACCTTGTTACCTTGCCTTGCTGTAAGAACTTGCTAACTGTCAGTACCTAGAATGATGCCACAGTAAGCACTGTGAGAGGTTTAGGATTAGCCTCAACTTATGAGAGGAAATGGAGGCATGGCACAAGCCCTGCCTGGGCAGTGGACGAGGGCTTCACAGAGGGACTGGGCGTGTCCACCTGCACAGGGAGCTGTGGGGCAGAGAAGCCTCCCAAGGGCTCAGCAGTGAGCCCAGGCAGGTCCCTGCTCCCTTTGGGCCTCCATCCTCCTGTTGGTTGTATAGTATGACAAGAGCTTGGCTGACCTCACAAGGAGGTACTGGTGGTCCAAGGAGATATGGTGAGGAGAGAGGGCCACAAATGTGATTCTTGGAGGGCAGGTGCCTTCTGACACCAAAACCTGAGGAGTGGTGGAGGACTTAGGTACATCTGGCACCCATGCCAGTATGAGATAAATCGAACCACATACTAACTGGGGGCTGGCCATACCCCATGCCCCAGTGGTCAGTATTGTTGCCTGGGGGCATGGAGATGGCCAGTGTCGACCTGCCTCCTCAATGCTACAGCTCCTGGCTGACAGCAGTGTCTTGCAGATACTGGATTTCCACACACAAGCAAAAGTGAACCTCCTGCTGCAAGGTGATCCTGCTATTTTTATTCTGGATGACCACACACTCTGACCTCACCCTCAGTAGCTTGGTGGGGAGCAGCTGCCAGCCAGATGGCTCCTGGCACTAAAGTGGTGACAGAATGGCCCTGTTCCCTCACCCCTGCCCAGCCCACCTACTCACTCAACCACCCACCCCACATAACTCATTCTTCCCCATGACTCTGGGGTCTCTGGCCAAGAAACCCCCATATACCAGGCCTCTCCAACCACTTGGCAGATGATAGTAGGGCCAGGGTGGGAGTTTCCTCACCAACCCACTCCGTACTGGCCTCCACAGGACCCTAGCCCATGCCTCCCTCCCTCAATTTCGAGATGAGGGGTCATCCCGGGTCTGTGTTCCTGCATGGCAATGACTGGAGGACTGTGCTAGGCCTCCCTGAATCACCCACCCATACCTGGCTGCCTGGCCCCTTGTTGGCCCCAATACAGTGCTCAGGTTGAAGCCCAGCCAGCTGCTGCTCCCCGGGGATGGGGGCTGCTCTCCCTCTTCTGCCCTCACCCAGCCCTTCCTGTGTTCATGTGAAATGTCATGCAGCATCATGGATTTCCAGTAGTTCATCCTGGAGAAGTTTAAAGTGCAATGGGAGAGGACACACTGCAGGAAGGAGCAGCTGCACAAGGGGCCCTGGAAACATAGATCCTTCACAGATCAAGCATCATGTCTCCCCTCTGTGCCAGACACCTTGGGACAACAGCAAGGAGCAGGGCCAGCCACTACTGCCCAGCACAATGGCAGGCTGCAGTCCACTCTCTGAAGAGCAAAAGAACTGAATGATGGCCAGAGGTTGTGGGGAGGCCTTCTCTGAACAGGTGACACTCGGTGACCAAGGTGATTAAGGAGCTTTCTGGTGGAAGCAATAGCAAATGGAAAGGCCCCGAGGTGGGAGTGGGTTCTGCAGGATTGAGAGTAGGGGCTCTGAAGGGCAGGGAGAGGAGGGCAGTGTAGGGGTGAGGGTAGACCGCACAGTGCTGTTTAGACCACATGAGTAATCTGGTTTTCTTCAGAGTGGAATGAGCTTGGCAGTGACAGGACCTGATGTCCATATTTAAGAAACTCCCTCTGGCTGCTCTGTAGGGAGCAAGGCCAGGCCCAAGCTAGGAGACTCCGTAGGCCTCCAGGCAGTGGTGCACAAGGTGGGGAGACACAGATGAGTTAGGACATAATTTAAGGGTAGAAATGACAATATTTGCTAGTGGATCTATATGTGAACCTGATGGCCCCAGCTTTTAGCCTGAACTACATGTGGGAGGGACTGGCTCCACCTGGAAGGTCTCACAGTGACAATGCAGGGGAGGGCTTGGGACTGACTGCACCTTGACCATGTCAGGAGCTCACCAAACAATAGAGAGGAAAGTCTGGTGGCAGAAGGGACAGGTAAGGAGCTGGGTGGGGTGGGGAGGCCAAGCCAAGCTGAGGGGTTTCAAGGTCAGGATGAACGTGGCTGGCAAAGGGAGCCTCTGACAGGTCTTGGAGTGACCTCTCTGGCAGCATACAACCAGTGCGCTGCTATCTGCCGGTGTTGAGTCTACCTGTTGGGACCTTGCTGGCCCTGGGCCACACTGGGCAGTGTAGTAAGGCCCCTCCTGCTTCCAGTGTTCCTCACACCCTCAAGACTCCCTATTCTAGGAGATGGGGAAGCAGGAAAGTGTGGTAAATGTGTGTTAGTAACCACCAGGCAGGCTGGCCATGTCCTCATCCCTGGAGGGGTCAGAACCAGGCATGTATTTGATAACACCAAATCCCGAAGGTCTCATGAAAGGAAATGATGTGAAATCTGAGGTTCCATAACCAGAGCTTTCCAACATCTCATTCAAGGAGGAGTCTAGCTCCTTCCCCTTCAGGCTGCTACTTTTCGCAGTGCTTTGAATGGCCATCATCAACAAATCCACAAATGACAAGTGCTAGCAAGGATACAGAGAAAAAGGAACCTTAGTACACTGCTGGTGGGACTGCAGATTGGTGTAGCCATTATGGAAAACAGTATGGAGTTCCCTCAAAAACTTAAATATGGAAGTGCCATTTGACCCAGTGATCCCATTTCTAGGAATATATCCTAACTAGTGGACCGGTGCATGAAATTTGTGTATGGGGTTGGGGGGAGGGAGTGCCCAGCCTGCACTCTCTCCAATCAGAGACATCTCTCTCTCAATCTGAGACCGCTGACTTCTCACCGCTCACCTGCCTGATTACCCCTAACTGCCTCTGCCTGCCTGCCTGATTGCCCTAACTCCCTCTGCCTGCCCGCCTGCCTGATTGCCCCTAACCTCTCTGCCGGCCTGTCTAATCACCCCTAACTGCCCTCCCCTGGTGGCCTGATCTCACCCACAATTGCCCTCTCTGCCTTGGCTCCCACCACCATGGCTTTGTCCAGAAGGAAGTTGGACATCTAGAAGATGGCCGGTTGACTGGTCTAATTATTAGTATAAATTATATAGGATAGGATTGCTTAAATGAGGGGAGGGAGAGAGCTTTTTTTTTTAGCAGGAGGAGATGCTCTTGGCAGACAAAAACACAGAATCCCTATATCCTATATCTGGACTGATAGCCAGCCATATGCACTATATTGCCAAACTGGTCATGAAAAAACTGAACTGCTTTCTTACACTTTATACCAAACAGCTGTTGTCCTTAAAACCCCTTCTCAGACCCCCCTTTAGTTCTGCCCTCCCAGTGCACTCAGATTAGATTCTGATTGGTCAGTTTCTATGCCAGTCAATGTCAAAAGCTCTGCCTCCTAGACAGCTATTGGCTCCTTGCACTTCACCCAGATTTGGTTCTCATTGGTGGGTTTTTATGCTAGTCAGTGTCAAAAGCTGCGCCTCCTAGACAGCCATTGGCTCCTCACAGTTCACCCAAATTTAGTTCTGATTGGTCTGTTTCTATGCCAGTCAATGTCTCCAGGACTACCTCTAGACCTGGTTAGAGAGGCAGGGCTAATCAGCAGCCCCCATGGAAGCCTAGAGAGATAGAGAGGTGTGGCTGCTGGCTAGGCCAGAGAGAAAGAGAGAGGCAAGGGCTGATCAACAGCTGCCACAGAGACTACAGATCAGACCCTACTTCTCTCTCCAGGCCTCTCTCTGGGCCTCATCCGCAGCCATGGTAACCTAGCACTGATGGCAGGACTGACTTCCGGTCAGTCAAGCCTTCGGTCATTATGGACCCTGGGATTTTATATATTAGGATAACCTTGAAACACCAATCAGAAAAAAATGTATGGACCCCTATGTTCACAGCAGCACAATTTACAATAGCTAAGATCTGGAAACAGCTCAAGTGGTCATCAGTAGATGGGTGGATAAGAAAGCTGTGGTACATTTATACAATGGAATACTATACAACAGTAAAAAAGGAGAATCTCTTACCCTTTGAAAGACCTGGAGAGTTATCATGCTAAGTGAAATAAGTCAGCTAGAGAAAGACAAGTATCACATGATCGCACTCATATGTGGAACCTAGTAACAAAATAAATTGATGAATGGAGTGGATCTGGAGGCTTGGAAGCATGAAGCAAAGTGGGGAATCTCAGAGGGAAGGCAAGGGAGGTAAACAACCAAAGGCCTTGTATACATATATGTATAACCCTTGGTCACAGACGATAGGGTGCTCAAGGCCTGGGGTGGGGAGCAGGGGAAGGCTGAAGGGCATCAATGGGGGAAAAAGGGAGACATATGTAATACTTTAAACAGTAAAGATTTATTAAGAAATAAAAAATAAATGTAAGAAGTAAAAATAAACCAAAAATAACAGCCTGCTTTAAATGCCAGTCTCTATCCTTTGTTCTTCTCTCATGATTGCCCCTATACCACCTTTCCAGAACCGATGGCCGATGGCAACCCCTCAATAGACCTAGCTCACACACCACCCAAAGAGCTTCATGCTGACTGAGACTTCTGCCAGCATACGTTTATCTGAGTCCTCCTTTCCCCGACACATGACTCCAAGTCCAGGCTGCACACAGACTGCATCATGCCCTTGCTCAGATAACCCAGAGAAAAATATCCATACCCTGGAGCCTGATGCTCACAGCTAGGCATAGCATTACACATTGCATCAAACTTTGCACAAGTTTCCTGAGCATCTGCTGTGCACTGGTCACTGTTCTAGGTGCTGATAGGGCTCCACACTCTTTAGAGAAGGCCCTTGTTCTTCCCTACTCAGCCTGTCAGTGTCTGCTCTCCCCACAAATCTGTTCACCGGGCTCCCATCTCCCCATCCAACAGCACTGGCTCTCCCAGGCACTGTTACAGAGCCTCCACTGGTGCTCAAGGGGATACTTGGGCATGAGAGGGAGACCCTGGCCAAGGTCCCTTGGGCATTACTGCCCCACCCTTCTCCTCCCTGCAGGGCCAGCAGGCACTCACTTGTTGAAGAGGTTGAGGCCAATGCGATAGTGCCTCTTGCGGATGACATCGTTGCTGAAGGCAGGTGAATCCCAGCTGTTGCGGGTCTCCTTGTGGTAGGTCTGCTTGCTGAGCGTCTGTTCCCGCAGGCTGTCGCGGGATGATGACTCAGAGCTGCAGTTGATGGTGTCATTGGAATTGGAAGTGCTGTTGATGCTGTCGTTGTCCCCATCTGAGTAGTCTGACTCGGACTTGCTTTGCCTGTTGGCTGAGCCATTGATGGCTAGGTGGCCATCAAGGGGCCTGGAAGGCTGGGCTCGCAACTCTGGCTCCTCCCGGGGCAGACCCTTAGGGGGGCCATAGTGGGGGCTGGGCTTGGGGCTGCCTTGCTGTCCACTGAGACTGCGCTCATAGGCACTCTGCCTCTTGAGTGAGCCACGTTCTGAGCGGTCGCTGAGGTCCACTGAGCTGTCACTGGGAGGCTCAATGGTGAGCAGTGGGAGGTGTTCCACCCGCAGCCGCTGCTCCTGCTGCTCAAGAGATGGTGTGCTCTGGCAGCTTGTGTCTGTGTCCCCCTTATCATCCTTGTGAGCCAAGGCCCAGTAGTCCTGGGCGGCACCCCCAGCCCGCAGTTGCAGGTCTAACTCAGCACTGGATGACCGTTGCCCCACCTGGGAGAGGGGCAGAGGTGGTGACAATTCCTCCTCATCAATATACAGGGTGACGTCACTGTATGAGGCTGTCATCTCATCCAGTTTGTGGTGGTCCACAGTGTGCAGGGCTGCCTGGGGCTCGGTGGCCCGGGTTCGCCCTGAGTCAGTGACTGGCGTTTCCTCAGCATGAAGGCTGCGGCAGTTGAGGGCATCATCGATGGATTCGGCCAGGGATTTCACTTGCCGGGAGAAGGCATCCTCCAGCTCAGTGATGGCATCTGCGAAATCACCGGATGGGGCTGAAGACTTGAGGGATGGTGGCTCACCGAAGTCACTGCCCTCAGATGGCACCAGGGCCCCCAGCTGAGAGCCGTCATCGGTCACTGAGACCTGCTTCCCTTCAAAGTAGGAGCTGTGCATCTTCTCAGGCCCCTCAAAGGAGAACTGCATCCTCATGTTGGACAGCACAATGCGGCGGGACATACGGTTCTCCGACATGGAGCTGCGCAGGCGCTCAAAGTTCTTGTTCATCTGGTACTGACGGAAGGCTGTCTGGATGGTGCGGGCTGCATGGCGGGTCACGAGGCGTCCCCCATACTTCCGTTCTAGCATCTCCACCTGGAGGGAGAAGCAGAGGAGAGTGGAAACATTCCCAAGTACTGGAGTAGCACATTCCTTACCAGAAGTCATTCTCTCCCCAGCTCATAGCGGCCCCATCTAGGAAGGTTTTAGCACATCCCAAAGCTGTTTAAAAGAACCACTGGTGCATGCTGATATGCGAAATCTGGATTCTAAGGTTAAATAAGATGGAGAAACACCATATTAAAGTTAAAACAAGTATGATCCCTGTAGGAATTCTCAGAACGTTTAAAAAGTGGTGATTTCCCACACTGCTTTAGCCACAGAAGCCTTGGCCCTGCACATCTTTTGGTATGCAGTTTAACACAACTTTGGAAATGTTGGAAGAGAGGAGGGCAGCACCTCCAGAGAGAAGGAACCTGAGGTATGTGCAAATTAAAAGACCTGCCAGCCCTGGCCAGTGTTTCTCAATGGTTAGAGCATCGGCCTGCACACAGGTTCAATTCCTGGTCAAGGGCAGGTTTGATTTCCCACCCCACTTGGGGTACAAGTGGGGGGCAATCGATTGATGTGCCTTTCTCACACTGATGCTTCTTTCTCCCCGTCCCTCCCTTCTACTCTTCTAAAAATCAGTGGGAAAAAAATATCCTCAGGTGAGGATTAACAAATAAACAACGATCTGCCAAAGATCTTGGCAAGGTTCTGGACACTGAGCATAGGCTTAGGCTTCCAGTCTTGCTTTCTTTCTGTGGCACTGACAGTGCCCTTTTGCTGGCCTGGAGGATTCACTAAATTTTAGGGAGGCCTGAGAGAATTGCCAAGCTTAGGAGGTTTCAAGGTCAGACGCCTGGGTTCTAACCCTGGCCCTCCTCAGAAATGTGCCAATCACTCGATGAAACTGAGGCAAGTGTCTAGCACATGGCAAACTCAGGGACACTTGGGGCTAAAGACACTGAAGTATATTCCTGGAAGGTGCTGACAAATTAAGAGGTTCCCAAGAATAACATAACACAGATAAAGAATACATTGGAAGGAATACACAGCAGATTAGGCAAAGCTGAAGATTGAATCAGTGAATTAGAAGGCAAGAAAAAAAAAATCACTCAATCAGAAAACCAAAAAGAAAAAACAATTAAAAAACAGGACAGGTTAAGGGAACTATGGGATAATGTGAAACATAACCACATTTGACTAGCAATTGTGCCAGAAGAGGCAGGAAGAGAGAAAGAGGTAGAGAACATGTTGAAGAAATAATAGCAGAAAACTTCCCTAACCTGGTGAAGGAAAAGTTACACAAGTTAAGGAGGAACAGAGAGTGTCAAGCAAAAAGAACCCAAACAGGTCCATGCTCTGACACTCCATAATTAAAATGCCAAAAATTAAAGATAAAAAGAGAATCTTAAAGGCAGCAAGAGAAAACTGTTACCTATAAAGAAGCTCCCATAAGTCTGACACCTGATTTCTCATCAAAAACTCTGCAATTTGTTGACCACTGGTCTAGGCAGAGGTGATCTCTGGAGGCTTTGAGTTTTTGCCTGATCTAATTAGTCAGAAACAATGTTTGACACTGTCCTACACTAGAGATTGAGAGGTGTAGAGGATTTACCTAATACATGGTCACAAACCCAAACAGCCAAATGAGGGAATAAAGAAACAACCCCCAAGTGAATGAACACCTGATTTCTCATCAAAAACTCTACAGGCCAGAAGGGAATGGCATGAAGTACTCAAGGTAATGGAAAGCAAGGATCTGAAACCAAGATTACTATATCCAGCAAGGCTGTCATTCAAAATAGACAGTCTAATAAAGAGCTTCTAAGACAAAAGAAAAAAAAAAGCCTAAAGGAGTAAAGGAGTACATCGACACCAATCCAGCATTACAAGAAATGCTAAAGGGACTGCTATAATGAGAAGAAACAGAGAGAGAAACCTAGGCATACAGAATTAAAGTGGCAATAAATAAGTACCTAATCAATAATAACCCTAAATGTAAATGGATTAAATGTTCCAATAAAAGGTGTAGCTGAATGGATACAAAAACATAAGCCACTATATAGACAACTATATGCTATCTATAGGACCCACCTCAGAACAAAAGACACACATTCAATGAGAGTGAAGGGATGGGGAAAAAAAGTTTTTGTGTAAATGGAAAAGAAAAAAATACTCATATCTGACAAAATAGACTTTAAAACAAAGGCTATAAAAAGAGACAACAAAGGTCACTACATAATACTAAAGGAATCGATCCAATTAGAGGATATAATCCTGGTAAACATATATGCACCCAATATAGAAGCACCTAAATATATTAAAAAAAAAAACAACAAACAAACAACTTCTATAGGACTTTAACACCCAGTTGACTTCACTGGATAGATCTTCCAAACAAAAACTTAACAAGAAAACAGTGACTCCACAGGACACACTGGATCAGAGGGATTTAATTGACACCCCAAAGCAGCAGAATATATATTCTTCTCAAGTGCACATGTATCATTCACAAAGACAGACTACATGTTAGGACACAAAACAAGTCTCTAAAAGTTCAAGATTGAAATCATAGCAAGCACCTTCTCAGATCACAGTGGAATGAAAATTAGAAATCAACTATAATAAAAACATCCCCAAACATTGAAACACATAGAGGCTAAATAGCATTTTATTAAACAATGAATGGATTACCAACGAGATCAAGAAAGAAATAAAAAACTTCCTGGAAACAAATGAAAACGAACACACAAGAACCCCAAATCTCTGGGACACAGCAAAAGCAGTCTTGAGAGAGAAGTTTATAGCACTATAGGTCTACCTCAAAAAACAAGATAAATCAGCAATACACTATTTAACCCTACAATGTAAGAGAACTAGAAAGAGAATGTGGGGAAGCATGAGATGGGGCTGACTAGCAAGAGAGCAACAAGAAAAGGCCAGATTAAGTAGAAGGAAGATTAGAGCAGAAATAAATAACATAGAGACAAAAATAAATAAATTAATTAAAAAATACCAAAACAATCAATGAAACCAAGAGCTGGCTCTTTGAAAGAATTAATAAAATCGATAAACCATTATCCAGACTCATCAAAAAACAGAGACTCCCCTCCTCTCTTACTATACTCTTGGGTGAGGATTAATAAAAATTAAAAAAAAATTTCATTGAGACACAGTAAGCAAATTATAGTTTGATGAGATTGGAGGGCATAGATTACTAGGATATTATTCTGTATGCATTATGTCTTTACATATATTTAACTCTGTATTTAATTCTAGAGTAGAAGAGTGTCCCCACAGTGCCCTGCAGCTGCAAGTGCCTGTCCTTTGATGGACAGCAGGAGAATTCCGCCTCTTTGGTATCAGGAAATATATACCAAAGACATTCTGAAACCCTAACCTTTTCCCATAAAAAAGAGGTTTATTTGTAAAATGGGGACTCTTTCCATAATAAATGAACTACAGGTACTGCCAGTTTAGGCCTATTCATGAATTTGAATCTACAAAGAGAAGATTTTTGTTGACAAGGTTATATGTACATAGATAATCTTCTTATTATTAATTGGTAGAAATCCTGTGTTTTCTACAAAGATCTTAATACTCATTAAATAAAACTATAAAAAATTTTTTTAAAAGAGCCCCTAACCGGTTTGGCTCAGTGGATAGAGCATCAGCCTGCAGACTGAAATGTCCCAGGTTCAATTCCAGTCAAGGGCATGTACCTTGGTTGTGGGCACATCTCCAGTAGGGAGTGTGCAGGGGGCAGCTGATCGATGTTTCTCTCTCATCGATGTTTCTAGCTCTCTATCCCTCTCCCTTCCTTTCTGTAAAAAAAAAAAAAAAAAATCAATAAAATATATTTATAAAAAATTTTTTTAAAGAAACAAACAGAGAGGATCCAAATAAATAAAATCAGAAATAAAAATGGAGAAGTAACCACTGATATCACAGAAATACAAAGGGTTGTAGGAAAATACTATGAACAACTATATGCCAACAAGCTGGACAATGTAGAAGAAAATTCCTAGAAAAAATACAAACTCCCAAAACTGAATCAGGAGGAATCAGAAAACCTGACTAGGTCAATAACAACTGATAAAATAGAAGCAGTAATTAAAAAAAAACTCTTAGCCATTAAAAGCCCTGGTCCAGACAGCTTCACAGGGGAGTTTCGCCAAATATTCAAAGAAGAACTAATCCTTAGTCCTCAAACTATTAAAAAAAAAAAAAAAATCCAAGAGGAAGGAACACTTCCAAGCTCTTTTTATGAGGTCAGCATTATCCAAATCCCAAAACCAGATAAAGACACTATGAAGAAAGAGAATTACAGGCCAATATCCCTGATGGACATAGATGCTAAAATCCTTGACAAAATATTATAAATTATATCCACTAATACATTAAAGGATCATACACCATGACCAATTGGATTTATTCCAGGGATGCAAGGGTGGTATAATATATTCAAATCAATAAACATGATATATAACATAAACAAATTGAAAGACAAAAATCACATGATCATATCAATAGATGCAGAAAAAGATTCGACAAAATCCAACACCCATTTTTGATAAAAACTATCAGCAAAGTGAGAATAGAGGAAGCATATCTCAACATGTTAAAGGCCATATATGACAAACCTGCAGTCAACATCATACTCAATGGGCAAAAACTAAAAGCATTTCCCCTAAGAACAGGAATATCTGCTTTCACCACTCTTATTCTAGAAGTCTTAGCCACAGTGATCAGAGAAGAAGAAAAGGCATCAAAATTGGAAAGAAGGAAGTAAAACTCTCATTATTTGCAGATGACATGATACTGTACATAGAAAACCCTAAAGACTCCATCAAAAACTATTATATTTAATAAATGAATTTGGCAATGTAGCAGGATACAAAACACTCAAAAATCTATGGCTTTTTTATACACCAATAATAAATTCTCAGAGAGGGAAACTAAACAATCTCATTTACCATTGCACCAAAAAAATTAAAATACTTAGGAATAAACTTAACCAAGGAGGCAAAAGACCTGTTCTTGGAAAACTACAGGATGTTGAAAAAAGAGATAAAAGAAGATATAAAAAAGTGGAAGAATATACTGTATTCATAGATTGATAGAATCAACATCATTAAAATGTCCCTACTACCCAAAACAACCTACATATTCAAAATGTCATTCCTATTAAAATACCAATAGCATATTTCACAGAGGTAGAACGAATACTCCAAAAAATTTATATGGGATCAAAAAGTAGCTGTAGCAATTTTGAGAAAGAAAAACAAAGTTGGAAGAATCACAATACCAGATTTCAAGTTATACTACAAAGCCACTGTAATCAAAATAGTCTGGTACTGACACAAGAACAGGCATATAGACCAATGGAACAGAAGTACCCAAAAATTGACCCATGCCGTTATGCTCAATTAATATTTGACAATGGAGGCAAGAGCATACAATGAAATTAAGAGAGTCTCTTCAGCCGAAACCAGTTTGGCTCAGTGGATAGAACGTCGGCCTGCAGACTGAAAGGTCCCAGGTTCGATTCCAGTCAAGGGCATCTATCTTGGCTGCGGGCACATCCCCAGTAGGGGGTGTGCAGAAACGAGACCAACTTACACTACACGCAAGATTAAACTCAAAATGGATAAAAGACTTACATGTAAATGGTGAAACCATAAAAATCCTAGAAAAACCCACAGGCTGCAAAATTTCATACATCTCTCGTAGCAATTATGTTTACAGATACATCTCCTAGGGCAAAGGAAACTAATGAGAAAATATACAAATGGGCTACAGCTAAATTAAAAGCTTCAGCAGAACAAAAGAAACCATCAACAAAACAAAAAGAGAGCCCAAATATGGGAAAACATATTTGACAATGATACATCTGACAAAGGGTTAATATCCAAAATATATAAGGAACTCATACAGCTTAACAAAAGGAAGACAAACAACCCAATTAAAAAAATGGGCAAAGGATCTAAATAGACACTTATCCAAAGAGGACATACAGATGTCCAAGAGACATATGAAAAAATGCTCAAAGTCACTAATCATCAGAGAGATGCAAATCAAAATGATAATGAGGTACCATCTCACACCTGTCAGAATGGCTATCATCAACAAATCAACAAATGACAAGTGCTGGAGAGGATGTGGAGAAAAGGGAACCATGGTACACTGCTGATGGAAATGCAGACTGGAGTGCAACCATTATGAAAAACACTATGGAGTTTCCTCAAAAAATTAAATATGGAACTGCCATTTGACACCACTTCTAGGAGTATATCCTAAGAAACCAGAAGCACCAATCAGAAAGAATGTATGCACCTCTATGTTCACAGCAGCACAATTTACAATAGCTAAGATCTGGAAACAGCCCAAGTGCCCACCAGCAGATGAGTGAATAAAAAAACTGTGGTACATTTATACCATGGAATACTATGCAACAGTAAAAAAGGAGAATCTCTTACCCTTTGAAACAGCATGGAGAGACCTGGAGAATATCATGCTAAGTGAAATAAGCCAGTCAGTGAAAGACAAGTATCACATGACAGCACTCATATGTAGAATCTATTATAGTAACAAAGTAAACTGATGAACGGAGTGTATCAGAGGTGTGGAAGCATGGAACAAAATGGGGAATCTCAGAGAGAAGATGGGGGAGGGTGGGTGGGTAGGGAGGTAATCAACCAAAAACCTTGTATACATATATACATAACCCATGGTCACAAATGATAGAGTGCTGAAGGCCTGGAGCAGGGAGGAGGAGGGCACGGGCTAGAGGGGTCAATGGGGGGAAAAGTGGTATATATATAATACTTCCAACATTAAAGAATTATTAAATTGTATATCGCCAGACAACAGTGACTGACATGGTCTGAATGAAAAGTATACTGTCAGTCACCAGTGACTGACAAGGTCCAGACAGAAAGTATATTGACAGTCACCGGTGATTGTCATGGTGCTTAACATGTTAAGTAAAAAAAGAAAAAGAATTAGCCTGGCTCAGTTGGTTGAGCATCATCCCATACACCAAAAGGTTGTGGGTTTGTTCCTTTTGGGGGCATGCAGGAGGCAGCTGATGGATGTTATGCTTTCACATCAATGTTTCTATTTCTCTCTCTCTCTCCTTTCCTCTCTCTTTAAAAAACAATAAAAATTAAATAAAATAGCCGAAACCGGTTTGGCTCAGTGGTAGAGCGTCTGTCTGCAGACTGAAAGGTCCCAGGTTCGATTCCGGTCAAGGACATGTACATTGGTTGCGGGCACATCCCCGGTAGGGGGTGGGCAAGAGGCAGCTGGTCGATGTTTCAACGTTTCTAGCTCTCTATCTCTCTCCCTTCCTCTCTGTAAAAAATCAATAAAATATATAACAACAAAAAATTAAATTAAATAAAAAATGAATCAAAGAGTCTGTCATGGAAAATAAACAGAGAGGCATAGATGTCACTAAAAATAAAGCCAAATAGATACTGGTGTCAGGGGAGGGGGTTGCTCAGAGGCTCTGCGGAGGCTGGGGGAAATGGCTCATAGCCTCACACAACCAAGTATGGGTACTGGTCCCCACTTGCCAGTTGGTAGTCTGTTAACCTCTCTGGGAAGTAAGAGCCTGCCCAGCTCCATGAGCCACCCTCCTCAGGGATGCCAGCTCCCTCCATCACAGGACACACTAGTTCTCTGGTGTTCATAAAAGAGGGAGCAGCAGGCTGAGCAGAGCGGCTATCTTAGCAGAACAGGGGAGGGAGTTGGGTGGGTGGGTAGGGGGTGTGTATGGCTCAAATTGCCTTTTCAAAGCCTGGCCAGACCCAGAGTCAGCCAGAAAGGTCTGTTTTTCCCCCCTCACCATGAAGGTGACTTCACTCCCACATTCTGTATGCGGTGTTTATTTTTTGAGTGCAGCTCTGTAAGCCCACCTGACCAATAAGGGCAAACCTTCTCTTCTCTGCCCCCCCAAGCCTGAGATCTTAGGCCCCTTATGCTAGCATTCAGGGATGGGGATAGGGACCATGATGCCAGAGCCACCAGCTCAGGCCCAGAACTCAGGCCCAGAGCTGATGGCGGGGCCTATTTTCTCCTGCTGACTTTGGATCTCACAAACCAAGCAGCAACCCTGTTTGCCTGAGACAGGCTCCCCAAATCTAGAGTTGCAGAGCAAGGTGTAAAGAGAAACTTCAGGAAGGCAGACATGGGCTCTGTGTTTTGTCATCAAAGCCTCTCTCAGTCCCTCCTACCTGGCCTCCCCCAGAACACACACATTAACCCAGGCCTACTCTGACTCGTCCCTCAGACTTACTGTGGCCATTCTAAAATTCCTCTCAGCCAGAACCCACCCAATGCCTGATCTGGACGTTCACTGGGACACAGTGAGGAGATCCAGTCAATGTGTGCTCACCTGACATACACAATGACGCCCAGTCACAGATACTCACAAGGACACACACTTCTAGAGGAGGCTCAAAGACATAGTGACAAGGAGCCAACCCCAGCTGGGTCTCTCCCATCAAGCCTGCTGCCCATTCCCAAGTGGCCAAGAGACAGGCCCCACCTACCTGCTTGTCCTGCAGGTCCGAGGAGAGCTCATAGCTCTCAGAGAGGGAACGTGAGCGTTTGATGGCCTCCTCCTCGGCCTGCTTGCGTAGAATAGAGGTTGAGTGCTGCAGCTTGGGCCTCCGTGTGCGCTGCCCCAGTGGCCCTGAGTACAGCCCATAGGCGCCCACAGACGTGTGTTCGTAATGGTCCGGGTTCAGGCTGGAGCCAGGTGCTAAGGGGTCCTGATGATAGGCCGAGGGACTGTCCAATGATGTGCAGGTCTCACTGCTGGGGGCCTCGCCCTCCACACTGCAGAAGAGAGAGGAGAGAGGCCTCCAGTGAGCAGGAAACCAGAATCCAGTGCATTTTGGGGCACCAGGAGGCAGGAGTGGGTAATGTCCAAGAGGCAGCCTACCACATGATAGTGGAACTCCACACCCCTAGTCTTCCTACTTCCCCTCACCCTCCTGCAGTTGACCACTCTGCATAGCCAGAGGGACCCTGCCAAGACTCTCTGCTCCACATCTTTCTGAGGCTCACCTCCCTCAGGATTCATTTTCTCTATAGAACTTACCACCTTCTAACATCTAACACTTTACTAATTTTGCTTACTGTCCATCTCCTACACAAAAAAGTCAATTTGTGAGGATAGATGTTTAGCTCATTGAGACACTGATACCAATGCCTAAAGCAGAACCCATAAACAAACAAACAAACAAAAAACCCTACAGAATCAGTGGTTTACTTAATGCAGATGGTACGAGTGAGGTGCCTAGTAAGATTTACTCACTGACTGAATGGACCCGTCACTTCCTCTCCCTCCCTCCTACCATCTGTGTTAAGTAAACCACTGATTCTGTAGGGTTTTTTTGTTTGTTTGTTTGTTTGTTTTAAACAACATAACAGTAATTAACAAAAGTGACTCTTTACTGTATCTACTCAGGGATCATGAAGTACCCCAATACTACAGAATATGCCTTTATTTGAAGGTAGGGTCAATAAGAGATAATTAAGTTAAAATGAGGTCACTATAGTCCTAATCCAATATGACTGGAATCCTTATGAGAGACTAGGACACAGACACACACACACACACACACACACACACACACACACAGGGATGACCATGTAAGGATATGGGGAGAAAAATAGCCCTCTACATGTCGAGGAGAGAGGCCTCAGAGAAAGCAGCCCTATGACACCTTGATCTCAGCCTCTCAGTCTCAGGAACTGTGAGGAATAAATGTCTGTTGTTAGAGCCTGTGGCACTTGTTTTGGCATAGAGACTTGCCCGATGTTGCACAGATAGTGAGTAGGATTAAAGCCCAAGTTGGTAGGACTCCACCTCACTGCCCCTCATCTCCAGGATGTGTACATATCCTCCCCAAACTCCAAGCACCAGGGCTGACGAGGGGAGTGGTTGACTTCATCCTGAACTCATGAACTCAGCTGATGAACACTGGTTACCAATGCAGACTGCTCTTCAGTATAGGGCACAGAGCAAAGGGAGAAATTTATACAAGATATTTAAGATATTTCCATTTGCCTGTCCCTGTAGACTATCACTCAAACTTTATAAAACCCTGAGGCTAGTGCAGGATCTCTCTGGGGCCTAGTACTTCAGAGAAGTGATGCAGGCCCTACTCAGGCTACAGTCCTTCCTTAATACTGTTTACCTCCCTTCCATTGCCTCTACTTGTCACAGGGATTGCCAGGGCCACACTGCCAGGTGTAGAATGTGAGACTATTCACCAACTCCTAGGTGAAACTCAAAGTAGGGGTTAGGGAAGGAAACCCTGGAGAAGAGGGCCAGGACAAAAGCAACAGACCCATGCAGTCTATTCCAATTCTGCCCTGAGCCAGGTCTGGGTAGCCAACTCATAATACAAAAAGACTTCCACTCTACCAACTGGCCCTGCTTCCAGGAACATGCAGTGGCTGTCCTGTGACAAAGGACATCCCATTCTGCTCCCCAGAGGCTAAAGTGTGACTAGAGGTCCTTCTCTGGGGAAGAGCCCTGGGTTAGAAGTTAAAAGACTAGGTGCTTTGCCTTGATCTGGCTGTGAACCAGGCTGGGTCAGTTCTCATTTCAAGGGCTAGATGCCTTTGAGGAGTCAAAGGAATACCAGCCTTCACAACTCTCCTGACATCAGTCAACCAACAGCAGCTTCCTTTGAGCCTCATGAGTGTGTGTTGAGTAGAGAAAGGGATGGGGACACAAAGAACTTAAAATGTTAGTATTGTTTTGTGGTCGGTAGAGGGGCTCTGTAATAAATCTAACCAAAGGTAACTTCACAGGGTGATCTGATTATAAATTCCTAACATGGTGGGTAGTCATGCCCCAGACTTATAAAAGACTTATCTTTCCTTAGGCAAGCCCTGTCCAAATGCCTTTTTCAGAGCCCTCAGAAGTAATCATTCTCAAGGAAGCACATAATCTTAACTATCCTGTACCTTGTTTTCTCTTGACTTCATGTTAGCATCCTTCTACTTCCTCCTTAATTCCAAATGTATAAAAGACTGCAAAACTGTTATTCTCTGAGCATCTGAGATCTTACTTCCCAGCATGTCTTTAATTTGACTCAAATAAACACAAAAAATCTCTACAGGTTTGGACATTTCTTACATCAACATTTATTTGGTATAGTATTGCAGGATTCTGAAGAAGCCCAACCTGGACCACCCTGCAGACACATACCGGGGTACCCAGTGCTAAGTACCAGCAGGGGCCCATTGTGCCCCCCTGGCTCCCTTCACAATGGGTACACTTGGATGAGTTTTCTCTTGAAATCTTAGACCTTCCTGTTTTAGGAAGCAGATCCTGAATTTATCTGAGCTGTTCTCAGAAAATTCTTGAGGTAGAAAAGGGCTGAGATAATCCAGAGAAATGGGTAAAATGGGTTGTTGCTTTTATGTTTAGGTTAAGGTGACCAGACTTCCTGCTTTTGGCGGGACAATCCCGATTTTTAACAATTTGTCCAGCGTCCCTCAGCATTTTAAAAAAGTCCAAAAAATTTAAAAGATTTTTTCCAAAAATCGGGACTTTTTTAAAATGCTGCGGGACGCAGGACAAACTGTTAAAAATTAGGACTGTCCCACCAAAAGCGGGACGTCTGGTCACCTTAGTTTAGGTGTATGGGTTTTTTGTTTTTGTTTTTTAATTTGATTGCTTACTGAGAACCTGGAACAAAACCTTTCCTGGTTAACATTTAAAAGATGGCATTTGGCTGGAGCTTTTTTTTGGCATTTAAATTCAGCTCTGTAGGCATTTACTTTTTTGCCTCTATCTTATCTATTTTTTGAGTTATTTAAGAAAAGTAAAACCATTTATAAAGAAAATGTATTAAAGTTATCTTTTCACCACTCCCTTTCGTCCGATAAAGGTTAAATGAGAGACTAAACTCTAGTTAGCTCCAAAAGAGAAAGGACACTTCCTCCCCAACCTGAATCTCAGGTATTCTTAGGTGACAAAGAAGTTTTGTGGAATTGCCTGAGGAAATACTTTCTCCAGGATATAAAGCTATCTTTAGAGGGATTCACCTTATCTGGGTCAACCAAAGAAGGGCACACATAAAGGCTGATTTTCCCTAGAAGTTTTTTTAGACTCTAAAGATCTCAAAGAAAAACTAAAATTAACTGGGAAATTGTGCCTCAGAAGCCAACAAGTCCCACAACTGTCAGCCTACCATTAATACTCCTGCAGGATCCTTTGTTACTTCAAATCATTTTCAGGCACAATTAGAAAAAGCTGGCTGTAAAATTAAGCAGAATGAATGGAAAACTTTTCATTGGTCTCTCAAAGATTCAAAAAGAAGATTTAGATAAATGGATGGAGAAACATAGAACTCATGTTGTACTTTAGGTGGCAATCCAATTCTTTGAGGTATTAAAAATGCCTATCCAGAAAGGTCTTCTGCAGAAAAATGCTCTCAGCACAGGAAACAGGTGTCTGCCTTCTGAGCTTTAACTCCAGAGCCCCCAACCCTGGCTTCAGCTCACACAGCTCCAGTCCACCCTACCCTCCCTCTGCTGGAGCACAAGGAGAGAGAGATCTATAATACATAACCAGACATCCTGAAAAGAGACATGGGGACACACAAATAAAAGAAAAGCAGGCATCTCCAGAAAAGGAAGTAAACGAGTTAGAGGCAAGCAACCTACTAGAGCAAGAATTCAGAGTAATGATCATAAGATGGGTAAAAAGAATGGAAGAGAAATTTGACAATATGAGTAAGAACCAAGAGGAAAGGAAGAACCAAGAGGAAATGAAGATGAACCAAGAAGAAATGAAAAATGACATTGCTACAATGAAGAACTCAATAGAAAGCATCAAAAGCAGACTAGAAAAAGCAGAGGACCGCATCAGTGAGCTAGAAGAAAAGATGGGGAAAAAAATACCCAATTAGAGCAACTTCTAGAAAAAAAAAAATTAAAAAGCAGGAGGAGAGCCTAAGGGAATTTTGGGACAATACAAAACAAAACAATATTAGAATAATAGGGGTTCCAAAAGGAAAGGAAACTGAGAAAGACATGGAAAACGTATTTCAAGAAATAATGACAGAAAACTTTCCTGAGATAGAGAAGAAAAAACCCACACAAATCCAAGATGCTTGCAGAGTCCCAAGCAAAATGAATCCCAAAAGATTGACTCCAAGGCACATTATAATTAAATTGGCAAACACCAACGACAAACAAAGAATCTTAAGAGCAGCCAGAGAGAGACAGAAAAGTTACATATAAAGGAACCCCCATCTGACTAGCAACTGATTTCTCAACAGAAACTCATCAGGCCAGAAGGGAATGGAATGAAATATACAAAGTCATGCAAAGGAGGGGCTGAATCCAAGAATACTGTATCTGGCAAGGCTATCAATCAAAATTGAAGGTGAAATCAGGAACTTCACAGACAAAAAAGTACTAAAGGAAATTATCTCCACCAAACCAGCAATGCAAGAAATGCTAAAGGGTCTGCTGTAAAAATAAAGAAATAGAAAGTGAAGAAGGAAGACAGGGGTATAGAATAAAAATGGCATCAAATAAGGACCTATCAATAATAACTTTAAATGTATTGTAAATGGATTAAATGCTCCAATCAAAAGACATAGGGTAACAGATTGGATAAGAAAAGAAGACCCATATATCTGTTGACTACAAGAAACCCAATTCAGAAAAAAAGACACACACACACTGAGGGTGGAGGGATGGAAAAAGATTTTTCAGGCAAATGGAAATGAAAAAAAAAGCTGGGGTAGCAATACTTATATCTGACAAATTAGATCTCAGAGTGAAGGACATAACGAGATAATGAA